TAAATAACCCATTATAGAGTAGGGGTCCTTATTAAGGGTCCCTCCTGGTTTGAGGTTGAGGGCTTGGTGTTTAGAGTTTCACCCCACCAGCTGCTTTTGATATGCCTGAAGACTTATTGTAGTACCTGTAGCGGAACCCTTGCAGAGTCCTTAATTAAACGAATCTGTCTTTTCACCTTGAAGCCCTAAACCCTAAACCCCTAAATCCTAAACTTTCGAAACCCTGACAGAACCAATCAAAGCCCCACCTAACCTCTCAGGGGACTTAGCAAGTAAGTTAAAATTAGGGTTATACTAATTATAATCTTAGGGGACTTCTACCCCCCTTTATAACCTTGCCCCAGAACTCTTCAAGCCCCCAGACCCATGAAACTGGTACCCTAAGCTCTGAACCCAAAACCCCTAAACCCTAGACCTTTTTGGAGCTCCTTCCTCGTGGTAGAGTACGTAACCTTTCATTTGTTTCGGTAGTACAATCCCTATGTAATCCCAAAGGTGAAGCTTCAGTTTTTCTGGGATATTGGACAAGTAATTGAAGATCACTTCAGTGTAGAATTTGTGGGAAAAGATCAAGAACTGCTACCGGGGCCTAAATCAATAATATACCCCTATTCCAACTAAGGCCCCTCCCGTAAACTCCCAACACCTACAGACCCCCTGAGCCCTACTGTTGATGATACAAATCCTGCATTACCCAGAATACGGAATATCCCGTAGTTTAGGGTACTTAAGGTAATGCAGAATGAATACCATCAACCGCAGAATCCTAGCAGAAGAGGAGCCCGCGAAGTTCCTCACTCCCGACACCACTCTGAACGTCATGCCCTCCATGGTCGGAGACCATGGGACGGGGGAAGGTTTGGGGGTTTAGGGTTTTAGAGGGTTTTTCATAGTCTATTCTGAAGGTTTTTCATAGTCCAGTATCGTTTTCCTGCAAGGGTTCCCTCAAGGATTTTACACGGTATAGTTTCTATGTCCCTTAAGATTGTTGAGGCTTTTTACAGTGCAAGCCCACTTAGGGGATCATGGGACTTAGTAAGTAGGTAATAATCGGGGTTATAAGTCCCCTAAGTGGGGTTATCAAATAAGCTACTTATAACCCTACCTTAACCTCCCAAAACCTACTTTTTAGTAGGGTCCCTATATATTCCATATTAGGGTTTATAATAAGAACCTACAAAACAGCAGGGTTTGGTAGTTTAAGGTACTTACTAAGTCCCATGATCCTCTAAGCAAGGGCGGGTGGGGCCTTGCGGTTTGAAGTGACCTTGGTCTCCCAAAATGTCTAGAAATCTTAGGGGTGCTTAGAAATAATTTCGAACTTTTGGCTATTATAGTCCCTAAGAAACAGCTATAATTAGGAATTTTGCTAGGATTCTAAGTTCAGTATAGAAACAGCAGAAGGAGGGTTCGGGGTCTGAGCAGTTAGGAGCATACATTAAGCTGCACATGGAGATTTTTCAGGGTGGGTTTCGAATTCGGGCTTAGACAGAAGGTTGTTTGAATATGATTGTGCTTTTAACTCTTCCTCTGCTTACAAGTATTCAGAGGCGAAGCGCGAGATGCCTGATATAGGCTTCCGAATGGTCGGTAGTGATGCTTTCTATTGTTGCTTAGATCCCCAATACCCACCCTTTAAACTTTCCGGGCTCTCTTGTCGTTTAGTAGGAATCGGAAAGTTCAACCTTTTATTTCTGTGGCTCATTGGGGTAGTAAGAAAATCCATATATTAGCTCTTATAGTAGCCCTTATAGACCCCTTTAAAGGAACCCTGAAACCCTAGGATTGTCATGGCATGACGATGCTGTACGAAAACTCTGTTGTCAGTCCTAAGGACCTTCGGTTTAGGGTTTATCATAGGGATCCTTAGGGGTGTAGGGGGGAGGGGTGTAGGGGACTATATTTCCTTAAATAGGCCTTATTAGTCCTTATTATGGGCCTTAAGGCCCCCTACCCCCCCTCCCCCTACACCCCTAAGGATCCCTATGAGTTTAGGGTTTGGGGTTTAGGCTTTAGGGTTTAGGGTTGCCTTAGAGAGTTGTCCAGTGTTGCGTCCTTAAGGGCTCATGGGACCTGGTAAGTGAAGTCTTTTAAGGGCACTATAGGGTTCTATAATTGGGCTCCCTTTCAGGGATGGTTTTGGGTTCAGGGTTTAGGTTTTCGGGGATTCAAGTTCTTACATATTCCGCACAGGTACGGTTACAGCAAAGGTAGGTTTGGAGCCTGCTTTCAGAGCTTGTGATGGTCTACCTTAAACTGCCAAACCCTACTTTTTTGTAGGTTCTTATTATAAGCCCTACTATGGAATTTATATAAGGACCCTACAAAAAAGTAGGTTTGTGTAGGTTAAGGTAGGCAAACTCTCAAGCTTCAACCGTTTTGTTCGTGTTTGGGTGGAAGGGCGATGGGATCACCTCCGGTCGCTGTTTTGTTTGCGTGCTTCAGGGGCTTCGATTTGCGCTTCTGTGGGGTTCCAGACCGTTCACAGGGTTTAGGAGTTTAGGGTTTCAAGGTTTATTAATATTCTCTAGTATTTGCTTAAGAAACACCCAAAAAATAAAAATAATAGTCCCTATATTACCCCCATAAGGAATATATTTTTTATTTTTTGGGGGTTCTTAAGCAAATAGTAGTTCTCAGGTTTGGGCATGTTGTATTCCTGAACTTGCGGCACAGAAGTCTTTTGGTTTTTGGCCTTGCTGACAGAGATCCCTAGCGATTTTGTGGCCTGGTCATCGGAGGAACAACATTTGGCACACACCACCTTCATCACCGTCATCCTCCTCAACATGATCCCCATGATCATCGCCATCCTGGTCATCCTCGTCGTCGTCGTTGTCGTCGTTACCATTGCACCCATAGTCGTCGTCATGGTCATGCTTATTCCCGCCACCACCATGCCCAGAAACTGTGGGTTGAGGTCGTTGTCCTCGTGGTCACCCTAAAAGGGTTTAGGGTTTAGGGTTTAGGGTTTAGGGTTTAGGGTTTAGCCCTAACGCCTGATGTTCTGGGCGTTGCTTCCAGTAAGGCCGGAGATCTGCTTATGGCGCTCAGCGAGGCAGGTGAAACAATGCTAGTCACGGACGCGACTCCCCGCATTGAAGCTCAATTAGGACCGCAGTTCCGTGCGTGTCTGTGGTTTGAAGCATCCCCTGAGCAACTGCCTGCAAAGGTCAGCTTGTGTTGCAGTGTTTCTGTGCTGCGGTGGCTGCCTTCCTAGCAACGGAAGATGCGTCGATGTCATGACCAGTTGCACCTATATTCGCCATGTAGCTCCTCCCTTACAGCCCGAAGCTTTCAGGGAGAAGCACCGATGCCCCCTCAGGGTGGCTTGCAATATCTGCTGGCCGGCGCCAGAGCCAGCATGGGTATCCGAAGTGGTTCCCACCTCGGTACACAGAGTCTTGGGTTTTGGATAACCTGCCCTCTGGGCAGCCAGGCAACCGAGGGAAAGACGTATCGCTAGCCTTGGCGCCCTCTCATGCTTTTTGAATCTGCCAGGGTTCACGACGCTGACTGAAGTCATCATGAAGCTCGGGGCGGATGTCCAGCGAAGTCGTTTAGTGAAGTCAGGGGTAAAGATGTGTAGTGCATGCATTGCTCTATCCGAATGTCTTGACCGACATTGACAGTCATTGTGAGGAGCCGCACGCACTTATCACGCGAGTTTTGCGTCCGCTCCTACGTGGAAAGGTCAATGCGCTGGCTGCTTTAGCCTTGTCTTCAAGTGTTCATGCACATGGTTTACAGGGAGTATGAGACTGCCTGACAGCTGGCGCTGTGAGGTCCTGACTTGAGATGGGTTGCCGCCATTTCGCAATTGTTGCGAACGGTTGTTCCAATCACGTGCTTGCAGACCACTTCTGCCTGCACTGCTGTTAAGTTCGCAGGCTTGCCTCCAGATCAGGAAACTGGAGAGCATCAGCAAAACTGATGCAACAGGCGTGCGCAATGCCTCAGACGTCTAGAATCCGAGAGCGAGAGAGGAGGGAGACAAAAACTCCAATCCTTCCCCGGGCTGTCAGATATCAATACCCGATCAGATCACCTGCGCACCCAGGTCGCTATATGTATGAGGTTCGCGTTTGCGAGTGCCCACGACGGGGCCCCAGTCGGCCAATCCAGTACAATGCTGTATCAAGTGGAACTTGTTCAGCCATCTGGCACCACTAAGTTCGATCCTGCATGTCGTGGCAGTTTTTTGTGCATCTAAGGTCAGGAGGACTGCGTCCAGCAAGGAGCCACTCAGAAGCATATCTGCCTACTCCTTTGCAGATTCTGATTCACCCTAAACCCGCAACCCTAAACCTGCGCACCCGAAATCCTGTTGGTGTTTTTGCAGCGAATGCGCTGAGGTCAAGCCACCTTTGCCTCGGAATTTGCTGCGGATTGGTTTTGGCACGAGAGATGCGGTTCCAGCCTTTGTTGACTTCAAAGACTCAGCATGTCATACAGGTTGCAGGCCGGGGGGCCATGTGGCATGGTGTATCATGCGTCTGCATTGCACTTTCCTGTGGTAGCTGCAGAGTTTCAAGATGGAAGTTTCGAACGTTCGGGAGCGGTGGAGACGCCACGGCAAAGTCGAAGGGTACAGAGATGCTACGACTGCAAGGCACGGTCGTTTTGGAGGCGTGTCGCGCGGACTTGCTCCCCGCATGAAGCTCTGTAGAGTGGGGAAAGATCTCCTTACTGGAAGGTGACGTCAGGATCACTGCCGCAATCCCGCAATCTTCGCTTTCAAGGCTTCTCACGGCGCATGTAGGACTGGGCTTCCGGCGAAGCAAGGTGCCAGGTTTCAGGCAGTGCAGCCTTTTGCTAAGAGAACATGAAAGCGACCTGTCGACCTCCACTTCGTTCGGCGACATGGCTTGCACTTCTCATGGACGTCACGGGCGGTCAGAACGCTGTCGGCTTTTGGCCCACCGAGGATGAGTTTTACCTCATGGTCCCAACTGAGGGACCAGAAGTGCCAGCAGCTTTAGGCGTCCTGAAGCGTCCTGATGCCTCCCCCGTTTCTGCAAAAGAAGCCCCTCGAAAAGTCTCAGCCTCTGTCAACTGAGGCTTTGCTCTTAGGCGATGCTGAGGATAGCATCTCCTTCGATTCTGAGGGCAACTTCATCTTCAATCGCAGGCCCGGGCATGCTTTGTCCCTGGCTGTTGGTGGCCCTGCCAAGGCATGTTTCGGTTCGTTGTGCCTATTTCGGCACAGTCTGAGGCAAGTGTGTATGTGCCCTTGAGACAGACATGCACAGTTGTCCAGCTATTGGGGACCTGCAGCTATGCAGGTCCGGACGGTTTTGCAAGTTTCTTGGGCTGTCACCAAGCAGGCGCACACAGGTGACGCAGCGGATGACCAGTGGCTCAGCGCTGGCCGTCTGGATCTTAGATGCATGTTGTGCGAGAGAGTAACTTCAATCTCTCTGACTTTTCTTGGTGCCCATGTTTTCTACTATTTGCTTAAGAACCCCAAAAAACAAAAAATATATATTCCTTATGGGTGTAATATAGGGATTATTAATTATTATCTTATTTTTTGGGTGTTTCTTAAGCAAATAGTAGTTTTAGATGCCTCCCTGAAGCCCGAAACAGCAAGACACAGGCACGACGCATCGAAGTTGTTGCAAATCCACGTTAATCCGTGGAAGGACTTGATAGTTAGTTTGTATGCCCACGAGAATGATAAGTGATTGTGGCAGTCGAAACAGATAGGAAGAAGAGCAGGGAGGGACGAGGAGGAGGAGGAGGAGGAGGTGTCGTTGCAATTGTCGTCGTGGTGGCGACACCAAGCTCAGTGCCGGCTACTAGTCATCGTAAGACGGGTAAGAGCTTCACACGATACATCTTCGGTTGAAACATCAAGGCCGAACGTCTGAGTTTTAATTTTGTCCCACATTCCCAACCCTTAATGAAGCACGAACACCGACAGCTGACAACGAAGTTTGCGAGGAGTTCTACAACGCTGACAGTGACACCTAACGAGACTTAATGCAGGTACCTGGCCCTATAACCCCCCAATGACCGCAATATATTAGGATTCATATAATATAACCCTAATAAAGGAACAAAGGTTTCTTAATCAGGTTCCTACATTAACTTATGCTTCAGGGACGAACAGTCTTTGGCAGCAAGAAGTGGGCTGCAGGTATTGTATGCGTGAGTGAGGATCCCTTATCAAACATGGCCACCGTTCGGGGTTCGCTCACCTAATATAGGGGCTTTAGGAATTGCCTGTACTGTTTTTGGGGAGTTTCCTTCTTCGAATTTTAGCATAATGGGCCCCAATACCCTATCCTAATTATTAAGGCCCTTAAAATGGCCCTGCGATGTTAGAGCCCTCATAGAGGCCTTATACGAGGTATCGGGTTGGGAGAATTTGTAATGTCCCTTATAGTTTAAGATAGTGCCCAATAACCGATACCCCGTATGAACTTGGAAGATCCTAGAACCGAAACCCTAAACCCTAAGCCTTCATAGGAGCCGTGCAACTTGAAAGACCCTACTTACAGGATCATGGGACTTAGTAAGTAGGCTATAATGGGCGTTAAAGGTCCCCGAAGTGGGGTTATCCTAATTATAACCTACTTATAGCCTTACTTACTAAGTCCCATGAGCTTTTAATAATCAGATAACCTTGCTTACTAAGTCCCATGAGCCTTTAAGAACACCCTAAACCCTATTATAGACCCCTACAGGACCCTAAAACGGAGCCCTAAACCTTATTTCTAAGTCCCATGAGACTTTAAGTAGTTGGGAGTTAGGATTAGGGGGACCCTCGGGGATATAGACCCTCTCAATAAGGTCCCTACTAAGAGAGCCAGGAGTAGGGTTCGGAAGGGGTACCCTTTAAGGGGTCTCCCTCATCATGCTACTTGGAGGGTCGGGGGACTTAGTAAGTAGGTAGTAAGTAGACTTATAAGTATTCTAAGAGGGACCCTAATCGGGGTTATGGTACTTATAAGTCCCTAAAACAACCAGTTACTAAGTCCCCCGACCCTCCAAGTACCCAGTAGTCCCTCAGAGCCGGTGCTGCAAGGTTATGCTTAATTTGACGGAGGAAGGCATGGCAAGCCTTGGATGTACATGGAACCAGGGTTTAGGGTGTAGGATCTAGGATTTAGGGTTTAGGTTTAGGACTCAGGGTCCGGGGTTTAAGAACTAAGGGTGTAGAGTTGAGGGACCTTTGGGGCGAAGGTTCCTTTCCGGGATCCTCTTAGGGCCCGAAACCAGCATGATTTGGCTGAGTGCAGCTTACACGTAGTGTGGTTTTTGGTGACGTTGGTAACTTCTCTTGGGACTCCAAGCATAGAGTAAGTCACAGGTGACCCAAAAATTCAAAACACGGTACCACAATCCAGGGTCCGGGTTGGGTAGGGTGCTTTAGGAGCGTCGCTCTGCATTTTCTTGGTGGCTTCGAGCCTGATGTTTAAAGGCTCAATGGACTTAGTAAGGAGCCTAATATGTAAGGTATAACTATACCAATCACAAGTACCTATAACCCCAAGTAGGGTACTTATCACCAGTCACGGTCCTCCAAGTGCCAAGTATACTTAGAGGATGGATCATGGGACTTAGTAAGTATGTTATATTCGGCATTATGAGTCCCCTAAGTGGGGTTATCCTAATTATAACCTACTTCTAACCTTACCTACTAAGTCCCATGAGCCATCAAGTTTAGTACAGGATAAACTTCCCCAACTCTGCATGCGCAACTCCTTTTGAGGGGCTATGCGCGAATTTTTAGTCTTACTGGCATAATTGTTATCGTACTTGCAACGTCATAGAAGTAGCTGAAGTAAAGGTCTCAAAAGTAGCTGCGTCAAAAAGGCAGCTGTATACGGATTGTATACGGGCTCTGAAGAAACTAGAATTTCTTTCTGCAGTCCCTATGTAATATCTATGCTATATAGTATACTCCAAAGATTTTGCTCGAACCATACATGCCTGCATTCCAATGCCTACAAGGGCTCTGACAAACTCTACAAACACCCTTGCAAAAAAAACACCCAAAACACAAAACCCTCGACAAAACCCTGTATAGACCCTCACTCTGTATAAACCCTGAGCCCACGCTTTAGAGTGGTGCATTTTGTTGAGTGTTTTGGAACTTATGTTAAAGATAGATACCTTAAACTTCCCACACCTGAGACCTACTTTTTTGCAGGGCCCCTATAAAGTCTATATTCGGTCTTCATAAGATCCTACAGAAAAGTAGCGTATGAAAGGTTAAGTTGAGTTTCGGTGCTTGTAAGGCTTCTGAACCGGAATGTGAAGTGCAGCGTCTGGGGTTGAGGGCTTAGGGCTGCGGAGTTGGGTCAGGGTTTTGGTTTTAGGGATTAGTCCAGCTGGTGAAACGCAGACCCATGTCAATGTGGCCCGGCTCGGAGAATGCGGCAGGGTTCTTATTGGCACCTTGTGAGACTATACACAGCTTTTTAGGAACGTGGCAGTAGTGGTGAGTGTATACTTGCCTGTCTCTTTTCGGCAGCAAACCCTAAACCCCTAAACCCTAAACCCTAAACCCTAAACCCCTAAACCCTAAACCCTAAACCCTAAACCCTAAACCCTAAACCCTAACCCTAGACCCGACACCCTAAACCCCGGCTCCTGCAGGCCCCGACGCATTCACGATGTCGCTCTTCCGGGACGGCGAGCGGATTACCAGGCATCCAAAGCCCAGTAGCTGTTCTAAAGGGTTTAAGGGTTTAAGGTTTAAGGGGTTTATAAGGGTTTAGGGGTTTAGCGGTTTAGGGTTTCGGGATTTGGGGTTTAGGGGAGGTCTTTCATGGGGCCCTTGTCCACTTTGAGGGAATCCTTTTTTCTTGGTTACTGAGACTGTGCTATGGCCTCCATTGTTTTTTTTTCTCGGGTGAACCAGTTTTATGGTCAGGATACTACAATATGGGAGTAGTCAACCAAAATAAAGAGAAGCTATGGAGACTACGGGTAGCAAGGACCCTAGGACCTTAGCTTTTGGGGTTTCCTTAGGGCTCTTATTATTGCGTAGGGTCTAAAAAGTTAATTCAGCTTTGAGAACGGGTTCTACGTGCCATGGTGTGTTAAGGTTGGAGTTGTGAGGCCTAGATTTTAGGCTCTGCTTGGTAAGTAGGTTATAAGTGGACTTATAAGTACCCTAAAAAGGATCCTAATTGGGGTTATGATACTTATAAGTCTATACAATAACTACTTACTAAGCCCCCCGACCCTCCAAGTGGGGTTCAGGGTTCAGGTTTGTGGCCTGTTGGGCCTGGAGTCGAAAGTCGGCAAGTAGTTGTGCTTTCTTTCGCTGGACATGGGTGGGCAGTGATGATACTCGCTGAATGCACCGTGAATAGCAATGAACCCCGAAGTTTGGCTGTTTGACGGCGTATGAAACCTGGCAGATATTCCGACAGGTTTCGTGCAACAAGTAAGTGTGTGTGTGTGTGTGTCTCCCGAGCAGGCACCAATGCAAATATTACGCAGTAGAAACGTGCCGGGATTGTGCAAGTTGCCGAGGGCAAAGACAGGAATGCAGCGCAAAGACCCGGACCAGCTTTCACTCACGAACACGAAAAGTCTCTAGCGAATCCGCAGCGAGTGCATTGTGAAGACGGTGGCACCACTCTCAACGAACAACCACGGGAAGAAACGAGACACCATCAACAGATGGCGCGTGACATCGAAGCCTCGTCATGTGCATTATTCGATCTAGTCATGAGTAGCAAGGCCCCTAAACCCCTAAACCCTAAAACCTGGTAATGGTTCGGAAGTTCACCACGTTTGGGTGCAGGGTTTAGGGAGTCTCCGGCTTGCGTCAAAGGCAAAGATCCGCGCTCTTGTCTATCTGGCCAAAATCCACCTGCTGCCTCTTGAGCATCCCGTTGCTCGTATGACAGCCCTTGCCCAGACGTTGGTGTCTGGCACATGGCTGCATGCGGTGCAGGATCTCCGAAGACAACATGGGGACTTGCCGCTATTGCAAGATTCTGGAGTTTGCAATCAGGAAGAAGTGCTTGCAGCCAGAATGGACAAATCGATCCGGAAGAGTATTTTGGCAGCTTACAAAAAGCATGTGGTGGCACCCTTTTTCATTGGTTTGGACAACAAAGAGTTCCAAACAGCCGCCGCTAAGGACCTTCCAAGCCTGGGGGTCTGCTATTCTGATTTGTGTCCCCTGCGGCTTGATCAGGGTTGGGCTGGGCTGCTTCGCGCGGCTCCGTTTAGTTTGTGGGGTGCTGTCCAACTGTGGGCCTTCGTTCGCCTCACGGGCTTGTGGCCGCTACAGCTGGTTGCAGGATCGCAGGACCTGCAAAATATTGTAGCCTTCCCTAGGTGCCCCCTGTGCCAAGCGGAGGATGCCACCGTAACGCACTGTTTGAAGTACTGCCCTGCCACCCGGCCACACTTGGAAGAAAGTGGTCTGACGGAGTGCCTGCCTGTTGGCTGCTCTGACTATGAGTTCGTCATGCTGCTTTTCCACTCCAGCACTAACACTGAGGTTGACGTCCTCAGGGTGCGCTTTGTAGGCTTTGTGGTAAGGCATACAATACTGTGCTACCTGGAGAGCCTGTGATCCTGTGCCAAAACAATGATGCGTTGCAACGACCTGTCAGTTTTCTACTGAAGGTAGCGCGCAACCCATCCACGTGCCCTCACACTCTTCTGACGAGTTTGAGCGTGTTTCCGGAACAAGCATTACAAGCATTACAAGCATATAGGGGTGTTTAGGGTTCTGAGCTGGCGTTTGGAGGAGTTCAGGGCTTTGAGTATAAGTCAAGAGTTGAGGCGTTTTTGGTTTAAGGTTACCCTCGGTTTAGGGTTTAGGGCTTAGGGCCCTAAGCCCTAAACCACCCCGCAACAAAATGCCTAACAGCATTAGCAAAACCTCAAGTCCTGAGAGCCCAAGTGTCCCTGAGGAGTACGTGCAGGGGTGAGAGCCTGAAGGAATGAGAGTTTAGGGTTTAGGGTTTAGGGTTTAGGGTTCAGGGTTTAGGGTTTAGGGTTTAGGGTTTAGGGTTCAGGGTTTAGGGTTTAGGGTTTAGGGTTCAGGGTTTAGGGTTTAGGGTTTAGGGTTTAGGGTTCAGGGTTTAGGGTTTAGGGTTTAGGGTTTAGGGTTCAGGGTTTAGGGTTTAGGGTTTAGGGTTCAGGGTTTAGGGTTTAGGGTTTAGGGTTTAGGGTTCAGGGTTTAGGGTTTAGGGTTTAGGGTTTAGGGTTTTGTCTTCTAGTGCAGGCCTCGATGAGGCAGGCCGACGCTGCACAACAGAAAAGGCCGTTGCACCTTAAAACAAAAAAAGCGAGCCCAAGTGTTTCGGGAACGACGTTTCGATTTTCGTCAGGCCTCAGCCGATCCCTGACGTTCTGAAGGGCAAGCCGCTGTTCCCCATGGCCTCTCGGAGGAATCTGAGAACTTCAGGGCTCAGGGGGGGTTGAGGGGTTATAAGGGTTGAAGGCCTGGGGGATACCGCAGGGTTCCTTTGAAGGGTTACGATAATGGTACTATAAGGTTTCCTTCAAAAGGCTCTATAAGGGCTTAGAGTTTCCGAAAATTAGGAGTTCCTTGTTTTGGGAGTCCTCATAATAAGGATCCGACTTATTTGGGGTACTCTTTCAGGGTCCGCTATTCGCGGAAGCCCCCATACGTGTGGCTGTCAAAATTAAGGTCCTTTTTTGGGTACCCTAAATAATAGGACCCTAATTTTGACAGCCACCCATGTAGGCGTTGGGATTCTGGGCTTCGGGTTCAGAGTTTAGGGCTTCGGGATTGTTGGTTTTAGGGTTCAGTGATTAAGGCTGAGGTCTAGGCTTAGGCTACTTAGGGTTAAGGGATTAGGGTTTAGTTTAGAGTTTAGGGATTAGGGTTTAGGGATTAGGGTTTAGAGTTTAGGGATTAGGGTTTAGGGATTAGGGTTTAGGATCTGGGTTGAGGGTTCAGGGATGCAGGGTTTAGCCCCAACCCCTAAACCATAACCCCAAGTAAGCTACCTTTTAAAGGATTTCTATAAAGAAACATATTAGGGAACCTCAAAAAGGTAGGTTCCTTGTAGGGTCCAGGTAAACCCTAACCTAGAGTGTATAATAGGGCTAGTAGTAAGGTCCTTATATATCTATATTATGAATACTATTCAACTATTACTGAGTGGGGGCCGTACCTAAGGCTGAGGCCTAAGCCCCAACCCCTAAACCCTACTTAGAGGTTCATGGGACTTAAGCAAGGTTATACTTATAAGTAGGTTATAATTGGGATAACCCCACTTAGGGGACTTATAACCCCAATTACAACCTACTTACTAAGTCCCATGATCCTTTAAGTACCCGTAAACCCCCTGAAAGAACCCTTTTTAAGATCCCTTTTGAGGAACCCTTTTATAGATCCCTTATAGGACCCCTTAAGGAACCCTAGTTACAAAGTCCCATGATCCTTTAAGTAACCTCAACCTCAAACTGACACTCTCAGCCCCAGACCTGCACTAAACTCCCCCGGTGGACTCAAGCAACCCTTGTAGCAGCCCCCAAGCCAGACTCTAAAAGCTTATAGCAGACGGTACAAGTGCCCTAAACCCTACTTATAGGCTCATGGGACTTAGTAATTCAGGTTATGAGTCGGTTATAATTAGGATAACCCCACTTAGGGGACTTATAACCCAGTTATAACCGACTTACTAAGTCCCATGATCTTTTAAGTAAAGTCCTAAACCCCAAGCCCTAAAACCCCTAAACCGCTAAACCCTAAACCCCAAACTACAGGGAGCCCCACGCCATATACAGCGTGATTGTTTAGCCCTTTCGAGCCCCATGGGTGTGAAGCGCTATAAATGCCGCTTACAGAACCCAGAGACTCCAATATCACTGAATTAAGGATTATTCCTTAAATCATACTAGGGATCCTACTACATATTCCTTAATTCAGGAATGTTGGAGTCTCCCGAAACACAAGTTATAAAGTCCGAGCGCCCAGATTACCTTCAAGAACTTGACGGCCGGACGCTCAGAGCGGGCTTTTCGGTTTAGGGCTTCGGTTGCTTTGAGCCGTTACTTCTAGTCTAGGGATGAATTTCAGGCCTCTATCAGTTTAGCGGTCTTCGGGTGAGAGGTAAGGGTTCATCTGGCATTCATTCATGTTCCCACCATGTTTTGACGTTTAGGAAGAGGAAGACAAGCGGCCAAATCACGAAAGAGGCAGCTGGCATGCAGGCGATTGGCGCTCTGGCTGCTCGCTAAAGCAAGTTGTTGTGTCAGGACTATGGAAAATTTGTTCAAGAAGCTTCCCGAGTCCGAGCCCGTTGGCAGTTCGACGAAGCCCAGAGCCCACACTACTATTTGCTTAACAAACCCCCAAAAAATAAAAATAATAATTCCTATATTACCACCATAAGGAATATATTTTTTATTTTTTGGTGGTTCTTAAGCAAATAGTAGTAAACCCTCAGCACTAAACTCCTGCCATGGTGATGCCCAAGTCTCCTAGCATGTCCAGGTCTGGGAGGTCCCAGGCTGCTGTTCATCTACCTCGGGGTTTAGGGTTTAGGGGTTTAGGGCTTGAGGGTTCAGGGTTTTAGGGTTTAGGGGTTTAGGGTTTAGGGCTTGAGGGTTCAGGGTTTCAGGGTTTTAGGGTTTTAGGGTTTAAGGTTTAGGGTTTAGGGTTCATCTACCTCCTGGCTGCCCGGGCTTTCATGTGGGATCTCCGGTGACCACATGCACCTCGTGCCCCGGTGTTGCTGCGAAGGCTGCGTAGACATCCCCCCACGGTGGAATGCACATCGTAATGGTTCTGCTGCCATCCACCCCGAGAGCCCAATACCCCTTAATTAAGGGATATAGATTATAAGTCATAATAGAAGGCCCTTTATAGTTTAAGGCATATTCCTTAATTATATCAGGGGTGTTGGGCTCTCTGGGCAGCAGCCCAGGATCAGCATTCACTGACACGAGCGCTCGGCAAACTTCCAGGATGCATTCCTAGGTTCCTGAGTAGTACCCTTACTACAACCAAACAGTAGGAAACAGGGTACCCTTGTTAATTATTTTAAAGGGACTACTCCGGAACCTAGATTCGAATCTTCATCGGGAGCCTGCGGAAATTCTCCGTTAAGGGGTCCCTAAGCCCTCGAAATCATACACGCTGAACCTCAAGCCATTAACAGCCTAAGCCCTAAACCCTAAGTTGAGGATTGAGGTGTGCTGGTGCTTTGGGAGGGTGGGTTTGGAGGTATGGAAGGATGCTGATGAGTTTATGGTCTAGGGTTTAGGGTCTAGGGCCAGGGGTTTACTATTTAGGGTTTAGGGTTCAGGGGTTTAGCGTTAGGTTGAGGGTCTTCCCCAAAACCAACTTACTAAAGTTCAGCCTGCCGTTGCGTAGGTAGGGTTGTGATATGAACCCTAGCGTCGGGATGATCAGCGGCCCTACAAAGCGACACGTCTCCGGTAGGTTTAGGGTTTAGGGGGGCGTGAACCCTGAATCGTTTGAAGGTTTAAGGTTCTTATCTTATGCAACTCCCTTAACCCTAAACCAATCTAAGCCCTAACAGGTAAGTCTAGTATTCAGAGCTCCAGTTGTTTCGGGCGATGGTTTCAGAGTTCAGTTGGTCATACTTGCCGCGCGCAAAGCCTGCCGCCTAACATAATTAAATTAGTCCAGGGTCCCTTTGAAGCGGTCTATAAAGGCCCCTGTAAGGGCTGTTATAAGGATTTAGTTTAAGGGCCGAAGTATTTACCGATACTGTTTTGGGGATTCCCTATTATGAGTATTGTATAAAAATATACCCAGAGACGACCCTATTCTAATTATTGCGGCCCTTATAGTCCGGTAATAGGGTTCCGGGTGTAGGGCTTAGGGAGTTGGGTTTGGGGCTGTGGGCTTATTGGGCTTAGGGTGCTGGATGCGTGGTTTGGGGTTCAGGGTTCCCCCAGCTCCAACACATGGAAGCAGTAGCAATGCAGAACCATAAGCCCGAAAGTTCCAAGTGCCCAAATAGTACTTGAAGGCTCATGGGACTTGGTAAGTAAGGTTATAATTAGGGTAACCCCACTTAGGGGACTTGTAACCCCAATTATAACCTACTTACTGCGTCCCACGAGCCTCTAAGTAGGGTTTTTTGCTCAGAGTATGTACTGTAGCCGACTACTCCCACGCCCTGAAGGGAAAGTGGAGGACCTAGACCCTGCGACCCTCCATTCTTAACCATCAACCTCTAAACTTAGGGGTGCTTAGAAATATTTTTTAATTTTTTGTTATTATAATCCCTAAGAAACAGCTAAAATTACAAGTGTTGCTAGGGTTCTAAGTTCAGTATAGTAAACCCCCAAACACGAAAGCTCTGAGGCCTAAAGGCCTAAAGGCCTAAACCCTAAAGCCCTAAAGCCGGTAGAACCCTTCGAAGGGACCTCTTAGGGTTCCTTTAAAGGGGACCTCTTAGGGTTCCTTTAAAGGGGACCTCTTAGAGGGTTCCTTTAAGGGGCTCCCCGAGAGAAGAGGTGCATGTGAACTTCGGCCCCGAGAGTTTGGCAGACATGCCATTCAAGTGCCGTGCCTTGCCCTTTTAGGGTTTAGGGCTTAGGGTTTAGGGTTTAGGGTTTAGGGTTTAGGGCTTAGGGTTTAGGGTTTAGGGTTTAGGGCTTAGGGTTTAGGGTTTAGGGTTTAGGGTTTAGGGTTTAGGGCTTAGGGTTTAGGGTTTAGGGTTTTGGGTTTAGGGTTTAGGGTTTTGGGTTTAGGGTTTAGGGTTAATTGGGGGTAGCTTTAAAGGGTACCATGAGGGTTCCTTTAAGGGAGCTATAAGGGGTCTTTCAGGATCTATTTCAAGTGCCGTGCCTTGCCCTGCTTCATTTAGGGACCCCGGGACCGCCCTGGGACTTACTTAAAGGCTCATGGGACTTAGTAAGTAGGGTTTAGGGTTCCTTTTAAGGGTACCATAGGGTTCTATAGTAGGGTTCCCTTTTTAGGGTTTAAGGGCCTAGGGTCTTCCCAGAAAGCACATAAGCATAAGCATTTTATGGGGATGTCCCTACCTTTTTGGGCTTCATGATAAGGGGATTTATATAGGATATCCCTATCCTGAGTTTTGCTTATGTGCTTTTTTGGGTCCTATTCATGTCATGTGCTTTTGGCCTGGGGGTACCTTAGGGTTCCTTTAAAGGGTTAAGAGAAGGGTACTATAAGGTTTCCTTGAAAGGCTCTTTCAGGGTTTAGAGTTTCCGAACCTTAATGTGGGAGTTTCCGATGATACGGGACCCTAATGTAGTACCCTAAATAGTAGGATCCTTATTGCAAGGACCCCGAAACATGGTACCCCTAATTTTCGGACACTCCCATGTCATGGTGTTTTGTTTTAAGAGGGCTTGGGGAGTTTGGGGGAGTTTGGGGTTCAGGGCTCATGGTTCGGATTCAGGGATTCAGGGCCCTGCTTGCTGATGGCGTTTTTCCAGGAGCGTTTAAGATTTAGAGTTTGAGGTTTTGGTTTAGGGGAGTGGGAAGAAGTTGACGTTTTGGTTGATTTCGCAATGCAGTTCGGCTTTTAGCTTTAACTGGGGCTCAGGGTTTAGGGGCTTAGGATTTGGGTGTTTAGGGTTTACTACTATTTGCTTAAGAAAACACCAAAAAATAAAAATAATAATCCCTATATTACACCCATAAGGAATATATTTTTTATTTTTTTGGGGTTCTTAAGCAAATAGTAGTTTAGGCTGGACTGAGTGGGGCATAGGTCTGATAAGTGCAGCTCTCCAGCTTCAAGTACCGTCCTCCAAAGCACCACACAGATTCTCTGAAGCCTAAACCAAACCCTAAACTCCTAACCTCTAACCCGAAACCCCTAACCCTAAACCCGATTAGAGTGTTGGGGTTTCCAACAACCGTATTTTGGTGTCCTCATAATAAGGAGCCTACAATTTGGGGTACGATATTAGGGTCCCCCCCATTTTCGGAAACCCCCATATATCCCCAACAGACTCCCGAAGGTTAACCTTTGGTTCCCCGGTTTAGGGTTGAGGGTTTAGGGTTTAGGGTTAGGGTTTAGGGGTTTAGGGTCTAGGGACAAGCAGGTTTCGTGACATGTCCATACCCTTGAGAAACTTGTGAAGCAATCCTTTCGGCTCTCCGTTGAGGAGCCCGTTTCGGTTTTTTCTGCTCCTGATCCTCGGTCACGAGTATCTCCGCGGAACTAGCTGGCTGCTTTCCTCTAAGAGGCATATAAGGCATACATATATGTATATGTTTAAATACTTATCGATTTATTCATGTATTTATTTCAATTTACAGACATATGTAGAAAAGAGACCGAGAGAGAGAAAGAGAGAGAGACAAGTTAACTGAACTGCAGAGCCAGGCATGATGAACGATGCCGCAGAGGCAGATGCCGCCGGCCTGGAAATTGATTGATTGGGTTGAGGGGTTTGCCGGTAGCGCCGGGGGGGCCTTGCCGCCCAGAATTTCTACGGGGTCGCGGGGCGTATAGAAGAAGAGTATTTCTGAATTGAGCCATGCGTTGCCTATGGCTGTAGGGAAAAATAGGGACCCTAATATAGTCCCCTAACTAGTAGGATCCTTCTTATAAGGAAGCCCAGAATAGGGTACCCCAATTTTCGGAGAATCCCACAGTTCAGGCTCGAGGTCGGTTTTGGTTTGACACTAGTGCTCAAGCAGCGTGGTTGGTACCCTCCAATAGGGGTATACGGCTGATGGACAAAATCCTGCATGACCTTAAGGGCTCTAAACTATGGGAACTATGGTATATTCCTTATAAAGGGGTAATGCAGGATTTTGTCCATCAGCAGTCTGGTCCCAAGTAGTGAGCATTTAGGGTCTTGTAGAGGGTAGAGATGAGGGTCTACGTAGTCAGACATCGTAAGTACGTTATAGGAAAGGTTATCATTGGGATAGCCCGCACTGAGGGCCCGCACCATCAATCATTACCTGAAGGACCAAATGACCATTAAAAGTAGGGGCCCTATACCCATATACTATGAATCCCTATATGGTATATGAACCTTAAACCCTTTTAGGGTTCATTTCGTCCTTAAGGTACCTGCTTACTAAGTCCCCTGGAAACTTCTGATCAATCTTGGGCTCGGGGTGTTGTAGTCTCGAGCGTATGTTAGGGTTTTGGGTTTGGGGTGTACCTTAACCTCCCAAAACCTACTTTTTAGTAGTGTCCCTATCAATTCCATATTATGGTTTATAATAAGAACCTACAAAAAAGTAGGGTTTGGTAGTTTAAGGTAGACCCCTGATTAACAAAACCTCCTTTGTTTGAGGGCCTTCATGTTAGGGCGCTATTGGAACCCCTCCCTGAACCTTAAACCCTAAACGCTACTTGAAGGCTCATGCGTAGTCATAAGTGGGGTTATAAGTAGGGTGACTATAGTTATAACCCATATTAGGGGACTTATAACTCCACTTATAACTACCCATGAACCTCCAAGTAGGCTGCCTGGGTAATTCAGCCCCCACCCCGGAAAGCCAATCCTCCGAACCCCCTCAGCCGTAAATCTCGGAGCCGCTATGACTCGAAGCCAAGGCGAAGCGTGTAGGCTTCGGGGTTTCTTTAGGATCATGGGTTTTGTTGTTAGCTTAGGAGCACGGGTCTTGGTTTAGGGTACGAGGTTAATGTAGGATCATTGGTTTAAGTACGTTACTGCTAGGGTTTAGGAAGGTTAGGATTGCTTTAGGATGATTGGTTTCGGGTTTGGGGTTATCCGGAAACTTATGGCCACATACCGCTATGTTGAGACCTGAAACCTACAAGAAGCATATGCCCAAAGAATGGAAGCCAAGGTGGCTCACATCAAGTACCCACCGCAGAAAGACGGACGCCCAGAGGCACAGCAAGCTCCTGCACCAACTTGCAAAAGCTCTATCTATGTCTCCCAGTGTGATCTTGTTTCCTTTTTGTGGTAATTACCTGAAGGACCAAATGACCATTAAAAGTAGGGGCCCTATACCCATATACTATGAATCCCTATATGGTATATGAACCTTAAACCCTTCTAGGGTTCATTTCGTCCTTAAGGTAGGTTCCTTATAAAACTACAGAATACCAAAAAAGGGGAGTCCGCTTCCTAGGCCACTGGGAATCTTAGGTATACAATATGAGGATCACACAACCCTATAGAACCCAAAACCCGTTGAGCCAGAAAGTCCTCTGCACAGCCTGTTTATAGCTGCGAAATGTCTGCTGGGCTTGTGGGGTTCAAAAGGCCTTTATAAGTTTAATACAAAGTCATGGGGCTTACAGGGTTTGCTAGGCGATACTTTTAACGCTTGACAAGGGCTTATAGCGAGTACTTAACCTTGTTTGGCGTCGGCTAGTGTTTCGGGTCGAGGGTTTCGGATCTTTCAAAAAGGAAGGAGGGACCCGTAATGGGGACCCCTACCCTATACTGGGCTATATAACTGGTATATAATGGTTATATTAAGGGTATATTACCTAGGGTTCCTTATTACGGGTCCCTCCTTTTCTCCTAAACCCCCTAAACCCCCAAACCCCTAAACCCTAAACACTATAACCATAGAATCCCTATAGATCCCCTTAAAAGGGTCCCTCCTGTTCCCCTTTGAGTCTTGGTGCTTTGGATGTAGGGTCTGTAGGCCACGAGGCTGGGCTCGTTTGGTTTAGGGTTTAGGGGTTTAGGGGTTTAGGGTTTAGGGGTTTAGGGTTTAGGGTTTAGGGGTTTAGGGGTTTAGGGTTTAGGGGTTTAGGGTTTACGGGTTTAGGGGTTTAGGGGTTTAGGGTTTAGGGGTTTAGGGTTTAGGGTTTAGGGGTCTAGGGGTTTAGGGGTTTAGGGTTTAGGGTTTACGGGTTTAGGGGTTTAGGGGTTTAGGGTTTAGGGGTTTAGGGTTTAGGGTTTAGGGGTGTAGGGGTTTAGGGTTTAGGGGTTTAGGGTTTAGGGGTTTAGGGGTTTAGGGTTTAGGGGTTTAGGGTTTAGGGGTTTAGGGTTTAGGGGTTTAGGGTTAAGGGGTTTAGGGTTTAGGGGTTCAGGGTTTAGGGGTTTAGGGGTGTAGGGGTTTAGGGTTTAGGGGCTTAGGGGTTTAGGGTTTAGGGGTTTAGGGTTTAGGGGTTTAGGGTTTAGGGGTTTAGGGTTTAGGGGCTTAGGGCTTTAGGGTTTAGGGGTTTAGGGTTTAGGGTTTTAGGGTTTAAGGCTTTAGGGTTTAGGGGTTTAGGGTTCAGGGTTTAGCATGTCGGATTTACGGTTGACGGCTTCGTCACCCGAGGCATCGCTGCAGTTGCCATCTAGGAGAACTGGCGTTTGTGATTGCTTACCGTTATATGGTTGATGATACAAATCCTGCATTGCTCATAATAAGGAATATACCATAATTCCCATAGTTTAGGGTCCTTAAAATAATGCAGGATTTATATCATCACCCTAAACCCTAAACCTTAAACCCTGTAGATCCCTTAAAGGAGCCCCCATAGTTTAGGGTCCTTAAGGTAATGCAGGATTTATATCAGCAACAGTATGGTAGCCTGGCTCCAAAGGTGCCTGAAGAACAACCTCTAGTCTCCATTGTAGTTCCTTTTTTGGTTTAACCGATTATATGTTAAGGATCCTACAAGGTAGCACAAAAAGGAACTACGATGGAGACTATAGGTAGAACTCAGAACAGGATGTGGGGGGGTACACTGTAGTGTGGGATAAATGCTATTTATTATTCAGACCCCTGTGGTATACAAAAAGTTAACTTACAAGCGGAACTGCTTCTCGGTAGTAGCACTGTTCCAGTTTGCCGACAGACGACAGCCGATCGGTTTTTTTCATCAATCTTGCTCATCTTGGTCACCTTGCACCGGGTGTAGGGGGGGGAGTGGTAATCGCCAAGCCGGCCCCCCCAAGTGGTGCAAGTTGTCAAGTGGTGCAAGAAGCACAAGTGGTCCTTGTTGAAGCTGACCAAGGTTACCCAGATGACTGATCAGTCTTTCCCTCCCCCCCTACGCGAATGGATGACCAAGCTTGGGGTACAATCTTGTTCAGTGATCGGCTCTCGCGTGCCGGCACACTGAAATTGTTTCGTCTAAGACAAGATTACACACCCGTGAGCTTGCCAGCATTAAGTTTCACACCGCCAACCATTAATAACCACCTGCCATATAGGGGTCGGAATAGGTCGCACTGCGAGAGCTACTATCTACTTCTAATTATTGCATATTTTCTGCTTTCACCGAGGCCCCCTCTCATACCCTAAACCACTGAACCCGGGGCCCCACTCCGCTTCTTACTGAGGCACCAACCTTACGTAGTCCGTTCTGCAGGTGCTCTTCCCGGTGTTTTTGCCCGGAGAGGGCACTTTCCACTGGATGGATTGGCCACTTGGGCTTGCCTTTATGTCAGAGATAGTCATATCGCTAAACCCTAAACCTTGGATTGCTGAATCCCTTCCGGCCTTCAGGATCTAGGCTTCGGTGGCTTACTGTTTGGGTTTTTACGGGCCGAAACCTTAAACCCCCAAAACCCTCAATACTCCCTCAACCTTAAACAACCCCCTGATTAGGGATTGAGGGGTTTGGAGTTTTAGGTGCTTGTCGGGTTCAGGCTTCGAAGAAGTCGAGAGAGGTTCTGGCTGCTTGATCAAGATCCCGCAAGACCTTAAAACCGAAAAGCCCTAAGCCCTAAACCTCAACCCTAAACCCTAAACGTTCCAGGATCCCGAGAGACGCTTCGCAAAAGACACCCTTTGCTCCAGAGCAGGTTTTGCAGCGGCTACCTTAAGGACGAAATGAACCCTAAAAGGGTTTAGGGTTCCTATAACTTATTAGGGATTCATTGTATATTAGTATAGGATCCCTACTTTTACGGGTCATTCGGTCCTTAAGGCCGAGCAGGTTTTGCAGCGGCTAACCCGAGCTCTCACTGGCTTCGGTGCAAAAGCGGTTATTCCCTTGGCCCACATCGCCACAGGCGATTCTGCGCTTCGCAACAGCGACCCTCTCGTGGCGATCTTCGGCAAAGGCTCCGAGATACGTCGCAAGTAGATCAGCGAGCGGCCAACTAGCACGCAGAGCCATGGGTGCGCCGCGCCAAGTGCGCACGAAACTTCCGTGTCCACGCTGTTTAGGCCTCCCCTTGAAAATGAGTTCGCTGCCAGCTGTTGTAACGGACTCCTCGCTATCAACGTCTTCGGCGCTGAACCAGGTCGCACGCTTTCCGAGGGTCTCTTAGGCGGTCGCTCTCTCACGATAGGCTCCATTGTAGTTCGTCTTTTTGGCTCACATTCAGGATCTGATAAGGTCATCCTACAAAGGAACTACTATGGAGCCTATGAGTACAGACCAAGTTGGTCGTAACTAGCAACATGGACACGGTTCGTCGGGACCGGCAAATTCAAACTGGGGTGATGTCAGATTTAAGCCGGTGATTACAGGAGCGACATTCACGAATTTAGCCATGTCCCATGTGCTCGCCTCCGTCATAACGAAGCCTTAAAAAGAAAAAACCTAAATACATTGAACTCTAAGGATCTTGTTTGTGTACTTGGCCCGGGCCGACGGACATTAACTGTTTAGGTTTCCTTAGGTTCTTATGACAGGGTATACAAAAGTCGACCGTTACAAGGGGTTCCAAGAGCCGTGATGTTCCATGATGCAATATCAGTAACAAGGTAGAATGAGAGCGACAATGTGATTCTACATAAGCATAATAGCAACAACGGCTGAGGTTTCTCACCGAGCATCCCGAGTTCACGGAGATCAGTGATCGGAAGATGGTGGATTGGTGTCTTGTCTCGAAGTGTGTTGTTCTTTGAGGGTGGGTCTCCCTTTTATGCACGAACGGAATCCCTTTCTTCTAAGGAGCTATTTGTAAACTAGTTTTTTGGGGTTTCGGGTTGCGACTTCAAGAACTGTCACCACAAGGATCGTATAAGCGGAGCTGAGTTGAAGCTGCACCCAAAGCCTCCTTAACCACTTGCTTACTCTTAACTTTCCAATTAATCTAGGCTTTAGGGCTGCAGGAGTCCGGGTTATGCGGCTTTTGCAGGTCATTCAGGGTTTAGGGTTTCAGGGTTTAGGTTTTCGGCTCGGTCTTTGGAAAGTCTCTTCTTAGGGGTCTCCTCCGTCCAGGGTTTGATTCTCTGAGGCTCTAGTTTACCATGAACCCTAAATCGGAATTCCCACGGGGCCATTGTCAAAGTACTTCTCAAGAATGCGGAGTGATCCTGACTCACACCTACTACGTAGAAGTAGAGGTATGCTACTGACTTACTGTTCAAAAATAAGTTTGAAACCCTAGACAAAATTCAAGCAGCTTGCGACACTGTTCTCTGGCCCGACTCTAAACCCAAAACCCTAAACCCAAGACCCAAACCCTAAGCGCTTACAGTTCACGGACGTCAAGACAGCTACTCCGGTTTTGCACGGAAGAACTTTAACTGCCTGGGCTAGCAGTTTGTCATAGAACTCAGCCGACAGAGAGAGAGAGAGAGAGACAGAGAGAGAGAGAGAGAAAGAGAGAGACAGGCATATCAGAGAGTGATTAGCGCTTTGCAAGGCCGGACATGTAGTGTTTTTGCAGGATCAATTTCTCGGTCAAAATCTGGTGAGCTTCCAGGAAATCCGAAGTGAAAGAAAGCCACTTTACGGTTTAGGGTTTAGCGTTCACTCTGGCTCAGGTGCCTGAAGAGTGGCATCAAGCGCCACTGGCGGGAGGCGACGAGGCCAACCGCAATGTGCAGACTCCGCAACCTACATCCTAATTAAATTAAATGCGGAACCGTGAAGCCCTAAATTGAATCTTAAACCGAAGCCCCAGAACCGTCAACGGTAAAACGCGAAACCCAAAAGCCCTACATCTCAAACCCACAGAGCACATCAAGAAAAAATCCGAGCCTCGGAAGGCATGAAAGCCCTTAGCCTTACCTTAAACCCTAAACCCTGATTGAATGGATCCTGTAAGATTGCCTTAGAAAGGTGGTTCGTATGAGCCCCTATGAATGTAAGGGCCTCAATAATTTGAATAGGGTTTGGGACCCTTTTATTAACAGTATAACTATAACAAGGAACCGTAAGTAACAATATTGGTAATTAATTTGGGTACGGGCGCGCCAGGCGCCACGCTGCGCTCGTACTTAGAATGCGCACGAAACTGCGGTTTTGTCACGGTTTCTGCCAAAAAAAAACAGGTTTGTAGGACATCACGGAAACTATATAATTCGTACGATTAGCCATATCATCAGCAGCATCATCCGCATCATCATCGCCTTTATCAACATCAACATCATTATCATAGTTTGAATCAAGTTCATCATTGTCGTTATCAACATTTTCATCGTCATTAAGATATTTATCATCATCTTTTCAACATATTGGTCATCATCAAGATGATCATGATCATAAGCATAATCATTGTCGTTACCGTCATCTGCAATTCCTCATCTCAGGCATCTTCATCATCTTGATGACCGTCATCATTGCCTTTAGCAACATCATTATCACCGTCATTAGACTTTTCATCAGACTACTCTTCATCATAATGATCATGGTCATTATCACAATCATCATCGTTACCGGCTCGCAAATGCGCAGTCGAGAGCATATGCGACGGCCGGACGCTATAAAGCCTTCCCCCCCATCCCCCCCCACCCCCTACTCCTGAGCAGCAGCAGAAAACCGGGAAATGTGCTGTAAAAAACATTAAAAAACGCATGAAGTCACGTGGCGCCCTACGCGCCCGCTACCAGGCCAAGTGTTTAGGCTTCTATGTTAGACAAAACCGTACAAAACTCGGGGAAGAGCCATCAAAAGGCACACACACGAACACACGAACACACACACACACACACACACACACGGAGAAAACCCTAAACCCTAAACCCCAACTAAACCTCACTCGTATAAATGCAAATCCCTTTGCCTGGCAGGGCTTCGAACGACAAGCCGGCGGGGCTGGCCGAGTTTGGCGTAAAGGGCCCCGTTTTTGAGGTTTGTTTTGGGGTTTATAGTTACTATCGGTTTGGGGTTTAGGGTTTAGGTTTTATTTATATTTAACCAGGTGGCACTTTGGGAAACTGTTCATTTTCCTTGTATGGTTCCTATGGAGGTACCTATTCGTAGATACTTCTAAGTACTAGGCCCCCAAACCTACAACCCAGTTAAAGGCTCAACGCACGTGGTAAGGTCTGTGCTTGGCTCCGGGTCTCGCCTATGCAGAATTCTTTGGCTTGCTTCTTACTGGTTCATCTAGAACATCACTGGGTGTTCTAGGATTCTTACAGGCGTAGTTGTCGAAATTGGGGTCCCTGTTTAGGTCCCCCATAATAATACGGGACCCTTAACAGAAAACACTACCCATCTAGGTACTCAGGGTCCTGTCTATCCGGGTGCCGCCTTGTTCTGGTTTGAGGGGACGTTTATAGAGAACTGCCCATATTGATTTGGGGCCCTTCTCGATTGCAACCCCCGACCCCCAGAGACCTAAGGTTGTTTTGGTGTTTTGGTGGTCGGCTTCTCCGTATTTGATTTTGGGCTTTAGGGATTTAGGGCCTTGGGGATTTAGGGATGTAGGGGTTTAGGGCTTTTAGGAGTTAAGGGGCTTGGGATGTCACAGAGGTACGCTGGCCAAAAGCCATTGCAAACCACCAAAAGACACGGGCCACCAGGGCGTTTCTCTCTCTGGGGTTTAGGGTTTACGCGCTTCGGGTTTAGGGTTTAGGGTGAGCTTATCCGGTATCTCGCAGGGTGCACCAACACCGATCCCATTCGTCCCCGGCAGCGTTAGCCTTCGCCGACATCCTGCTTACCGGATCATGGGACTTAGTAAGTAGCTTATAATTGCGTTCTAAGTCCCCTAAGTGGGGTTATCCTAATTATAACCTACTTATAACCTATAACCTACTTATACCCTACTTATAACCTAACTTACTAAGTCCCATGATCCTTTAAGTGGGTTCTCGGTTTGGGGCTTGACTTTGGGAACCCTTTGCCCCTAGGCCGGTCTGGGGTAGCTCATGCCCGGCACCGACAGAGAGTCAGAGAGAAGTTAGTCATCATACTCACTCATAACTTAGGTACGGCCCCCACTCAGTAATAGTTGAATAGTATTCATAATATAGTTAAATTAGGACCTTAATAGTAGCCCTGTTATGGACTCTTTCTGTATGGGGGCAGTACTTAGCTCATAGCCTAACTAACCTAACCGTTATCTGCGATTGCTCTTTAATGTAGGAGCCCGGTTCTACTTTGTAAGTCCCCCTAAATCGAGAACGGAAGCCTTCTCAAGATAAGAAAAATCCCAGCCAGGAAACCAACTTTGGTATCTACGCCTTGGATGTGCCGAGCTCAGGGCGTTTTCCGCAATGAGCTCCCAGGGACTCCAATATCCCTCAATTAAGGAATATTCCTTTAACCATATGAGGGATCCTACTATAATTTAAGGTATATTCCTTAATCAAGGGATATTGGAGTCTCTGAGCTTTTTAAATGGCTTTCCAGAGTGTTTGCAAGGCAAGACGAAAGGGCGTTAGGGTTTCGGAGATAGGGTTCAGGGATGTTTTTTTATGGGTTTTCCGCTTAATGGGTGTATAGGGTTTCATATTGTGTTTTAAGATAGGGTTTTTGGGGGTATTTGGTGGTTCACTTGGCCTTCCGTAGGATAGATTTTCGCATCGCTTTCTTGCGGGCTGCGCTCCTTCTTGTGTATATGTGAGAAGCTGTAATTCGTTGGGTTGGTCTACAGTAGAAGCCAAAAAGTCAGAAACCCAGTAGCCTCAATCCGTAAGAGTAATGTATGGGGAATCCCGGCACTATTTGGCCTTAACCCGGTTTCCAACTTTATGAGGTTTACTGTAGGTTTCTTGCTGTGGGTCCAAAAAGCTAAACTTTTGAAGGGACCAGACCCTACAACACAAAGTTCTGAACATATTTAGGCTTTGGGGTGTACCTTAAACTACCACAACCTACTTGTTTAACATTCCTTAGTCTAAACCTGGACCCTTCAAATTTGGGTGTTGGGCCGTTTAAGGTGGAGCTTCGTCGACTTGACCCTCCCCCGATGCCCTAAAGTCATGAAGCACGCGCTGTCAGAGCCTAAGCACTGGATCTACCCATAGGCTATGGGTTTAGGGTTAGGGGTTTAGGGTTTAGGGCTCCTCTTTGCGATTACCTTCAAGGATCCTAAATATAAACCACAGATAGCCAATGGGAGAACTTTAAATTTGTTGGTCTGTATGTCTTCTTGGGCCCGGTCCTTGAAGAAGAGAGTTTAGAGTTCAGGGGTTAGGGGTTCAGGGGTTTAGGGTTTTAGGGCTCGGGTTTTAGTGTTTAGGGTTTAGGGTTTAAGGGTTTAGAGAGACGTTAGTAACACCAGACATGTATGGATAATATACCCCAAAGCCCCATACACTCGTAGGACACATTTTTTCAGGGTCCTACATTATTTAGATCCTTTAGAGATTCTTGAAAGGGTCTGGGTAGGGATTTAGGTATTTAGAGCTTTGGCCCTAAACCCGTATTCCAATCCGCGCGCCCCAGGATGGCACTGTGAAGAAGTCGCTGCTGTCTGCTGCTGGCATTCAGGGCCGCAACGTCGTGGTCCCTCTCGACTTGGTTCTGCAAGGGCTTAGGGTTCAGGGTGCAAGGGTTGCTTGGGGCTTTCCTGGGTATTATGCACTCCCCGCAGCTTAATCATAAGGCATACATATAGCACAAAACGCAGCAGCTTGTTGCACTCTCACAGGTAAACTCTCGACACCACGAGCTGTAGCCCTCAAGCTCTAAATCCTAATCCTAGAAAACCACCAATCGCAGCCCCTTGCCCCACTGACCCGCAGGATCTACTGCGTGCAGGCGACTCCTGATGTGGGATGCTACTTGGGAGTTTCCGAAAATAGGGGCCCTTAATATAGTACCCTAAATAGTAGGATCCTTATTATGAGGACCCCAAAATAAGGTACCCCTAATGTTCGGAAACTCCCACTTGAAGTCTGAGGGGCCTATGAACGTAGTCGTCACATGGGGTCATAGCCGCACTTAGGGTAGTATCACCTGTCGTAACCACTTACTACTGGTACTGCCCTTGGTACTTGAAACATCGCTGGCATCCGCGTTACCAGTTACCAGTGCTATGTAAGTACTAGTTAAGATACAGCTTAGGATGCTATTTTGTGTAAACCGTGGTTGGCCAGCTCCTCCTCATCATCAGTAGCAACAGCATCACATGCTGGGTTCTTGTTAAGGAAACTTTAAGGTAACATAATACTGATCTATAGTGAATATAGGCTTTCTTTAGTATGGTAACTTACTTCAATTCCGTTAACAAGAACCCAATATGGTGACAGTTCTCGTTGCGGCTGCTATTCGATGTTTGGTGTCGGCATACCTGGGCCTATTCGCCTGACTCTGCTTGGAGGGTGGGGGAACTGTGTAAGTAGCTATTTTATGGTATAGACTTATAAGTATGATAACCCCAATAAGGGTCCCTTTTAGGGTACATATAAGTGTACTTATTACCTACTTACTAATTCCCCCGACCCTCCAAGTGCCAGGTCGTGGAGATCCAGTCCAACCTGGCAAAGCAGGCATCTGACGAGCTTGTTGCAGGGTCTATGCTCAGGGTTCTGGACTACCTAGACCCTATCAGACCCTAGATACCCAGGACTTGGGATCATATGCCACTATTTTGGGGTACAGGAAGGTCCTGGTAGTGTGTTTCAGCCTTTCGTTGGCTTCGGGTTGCCTGTACCAGCTGGTCGAAAGGAACGAAGAATCCCGTTGCTATTTGGCAACTAGGGCCCAGGATCGAGAGACGACTTTCAAGTCTAGGTATGGAGGGTATTCGGGTTTAGGGTTTAGGGCGTGTCCGGGCGGAGGGATCAGGGCGTACACTGCAGTAGGGTTTCAGGGATTTTGAGCTCTGCAAGTTGTTACTTACTTGGGAGTTCCACGCGCCTCCGAAACCGTAAACCTAAGCCGTGAGCCCTAATCCCTAAAACCCTAAACCCTAAGCCGTGAACCCTATCAGGCCTTCTATAGGCCGAGTTAAGACTGTGTCGAGCCTATGAGTGCTTCATACAACCGTTGCAAAACCCCCAAACCCTAAACCCTGAAGCCTAAACCCTACTGAGGGGCTCCAGGGACTTAGCAAGTAGGGCTTTTCATTGGGATTATAAGGGCATTAAGTAGGGTTATCCAAATTATGACCTTAGGTGTATCCTTGGTTACTGAGTCATGAGCCTCTAAGTAAACCTTCAACCATACACCCTAAACGGAAACCTTAATGGTAACCCGTATGGGCGTTTACGAAAATAGGGGATCCTAATATACTACCCTGAAAAGTAGGACCCATATTGTAAGGACCACCGAATAAGGTACCCTCAAAATTTTCGGAAACTCCCGGATAGTAACCATCATAGTAGCCCTCGTGGAACACTTAAAGGAGCCTCTTAGTCGAAGTTCGACCCTGCACCCTAGACCCTAAACCTAAAACCAACCCCAAGCCCTAGGCCCTAACCCCTGAACCCTGAACCCTAAACTTTAGGCCCTAAACCCTGAGCCCTGAACCTTGAACCCTGAACTCTAAACCCTAAACCTCTAAACCCCACCCTAAGCCCCAAACCCTCACCCTCTAAAGCCTGCTCTAAACCCTAAACCCTCACCCAAAAAAAGCCGGCAGGATCGGGCCACGCTCCTTCAGCTCTTCTCCACCCCCGGGCTGCGGCACACGGCCAAGGCCACATCCTCCCGGGTTTGGCATACTTTAACCTGCCAAAACCTACTTTTTTTGTAGGGTCCCTATAAATTCCATATTAGGGTTTATAATAAGAACCTACCAAAAAGGTCGGGTTTGGTAGTTCGAGGTAGGGTTTCCCTTGCAAGGACTCCTTTAAGGCTTGAGGGTTTAAGGTTCAAATTGCAGGCTCAGAGTTCATTGCTTAGGGTTAGGGTTTCTTTCCAAGGATTCCTTTAAGGGTTGAGGGTTTAAGGTTCAGGGCGTGCGATTTAAGGCTTCAGTTCGGAGTGGATTGAAGATTTCAGGTTTTTGTGAGGTGTTCCAAGGTATGTTAGGTGTTTTCTGTGCTAATTACCGGTTCAAACTTCCTTTCCATCAGGATAGTGTGTTTGAGAACCTCAAACCTCAAACTTCCCAAAAGGCCTAAACCCGAAACGCTTCAGTAGGGGGCATAACTATAACACCATGTACTGTAGAACTCTAACAGGAGCATGCAAAAACCGTTTGCCAAGCGTAACCATTATAGAAGCAAATATCGAGCCCAACAACTCCTACTGTAGAACCCCTAAGCCCGAATAGCCCGAAGCCCAATCCGAGAATTTCGGAAGCTTTACCTGAGGTGCTGATTGGAGAGCCCACGCCCGACTACCGAAAACACGCCGAAGTCTTAGTTGTTTTTGGTTCGGGTTTCTTGAAGACGATCTACGTTCCGGTACTTTAAGTGGCCTTTGCTTCTTCAAGCTCATCATCCTAAGGAGTTCTCAAAACACGATACAGTAGATAGTCGCTGGAAATACCTGTTTCCAAACCGACCACGTGATGGGACACTGTTTCGGGTGCTAGTGGTACTTAAAGGCTCATGGAACTGGCTACAGGTAGGCTTTAACTAGGATAACCCCACCGAGGCGACTTCTGACCCCCAATTAAATCCTTACTTACTAAGTCCTATGACCATGTCCAGTGTCCCTCCGTTGGTTTGGGAGTAGGAGGTGCTAGGCACAGGGTGGTCTTTAGAAATTTTGGGGTCTGGTTTGGGCGTTGGGGTTTAGGGATTGCGTGCAGGGTCTACTGTAAGGTTTCTGGTTTACGTGTACTCCAGGTTTGTTTGGGTTCATGGCTTCGTCCACGTGCGATTTTGTTGTAGATTCATGATTTAAGTGCCCTTCACACCCTAATACTACGACCTCGCAGCCCAAAGCAGAAACCCTAAACCCAAAACCCTAAACCCTAAACCCTGAACCCCTTTGAAACCCTAAAAACCCCTACACCATGAATACTTAATGACAGATCCTACAACTGGAGCCCTGAAGCCATGAACCAAGTGACGCCGATCTGTTCATAAGGCAGCATCTAGTCGGCACAGCCCCCGAGCTCAAAACCCTAAACCCCTCGACCCCATATATCCTAAATCCCACACCCCTTCAACTAGCTCCTGCACCCTCAAACTCCCCTTGTTCACAGAAACCCCAGAAGCCCTAAAGCTCTATCGCGACTAAACCCTCTTAAGAAAGCCCGACAATGCTCAACATCCCACACGAACCCCACATGGAAAACTTGAAAAAACACTAAAAAGCATTCATAACTCGCACCAAACTTATGAAGATACCAAACTGATAGACCATTCCTAAACCCGTAATCCCCTACATGACTTTCCGAGAGCCCCTCAAGACGTCCTGAACTCAATCCTGGATACAGATAAAACTACACCTTGCAGCAGCATCCGTTGTATAACCTGTCAAGGAACCCTTAAGGGAATCTTCAAACTCAACTGAAGACTTCTTTGGAAAAGGCCTAATCCGTAAATGCCCTATGTTAGCCCTGACAGGTACCACCTAAAGCCAAACCTAGAGCGTCCATATATACTGCCATTATGGAATATGAGAAAGATGGTCTTACGGACCCCTTACCACAATGGTAATATATGTGGACCCTCTGGGAAAAAACTCAAGATCTCTTTGGAGCAGCGATTCGTTCGACAAGCGCTTAAATCGGTAAATCTCCCAAACTATCCCAAAGGAACCCTAAACCCTAAAGGACCCTAAACCCTAAAAACCCTAAACTTTGGGATCAGCGAGGTCTGCGAGATCCTCTTGAAAGAAAAGCAGATCCGCCTGGACAAGGTGGGCCACGCGTCTCGGGTTCAGTGTTTGCAAGGTTTAGGGTTTAGGTTTTTTTTCGGGTTTAGGGTCCATCAGGGTTCCTTTAGGGGTTAGGGCTTAGGGTTCCTTTAGGGTTTAGGGTTCCGTTTTTTTGTTGGGATCCTTTAGGGTTCCTTTAGGGGTCAGGGTCCTTTAGGGTTCCTTTAGGGGTTAGGGTTTAGGGCTCCTTTAGGGTTTAGGGTCCTTTAGGGTTCATTTAGGGTTTAGGGTTCCTTTAGGGGTTTAGGGTGCCTTTAGGTTTTTAGGGTCCTTTAGAGTTCCTTTAGGGGCAGGGTTTGGGGTTCAGTTAGGGTTTAGGGTTGCTTCAGCCTTTAGGGTTTGCAAGGTTTCGGCTTCCTTTTAAGGGTTCCTTTCAGGGCTTTTTCTGGCCGAAAAAAGTTCTGAAGCCAGTGCACGAATGGACTCATCGATTCCGATCCTCCAAGGGTTCTGTCCGTAGGGCGTTTATTTGGGGTGTAGGGCTAGGGGCTATAAAGTGCAGGGTTTAGAGTTCAGGGTCAGGGTTGTGAGGAGGCTTTTATAGATACCTAGACATGTCATACAGAGTTGTGAAAGTTCCCGACCTTGAAATTGTTGTTGATGGGAGATAACAGTGCCTACTTTTGCTTGTTCTGGTAGGTGGAGGGGGGGGGGGGGGGTGGGGGGTGATGGCTCAGTGATGAAAGATGCACTATGCTACTCTTCCTGTGGCACGGTGGACATCATTTGGCATCGGATCAAACCGTGGCTGCCCAAGCAGATCCCAGCATGCAAGAAGGGCCGACCGAACCAGCCCTGATGCAGTAATATAGGGGGCCTTAATAATTAGAATAGGGGTTTGGGGCCCATTATACTACAATGATAATAATGAACCCCGAAAACTGTATTGGGTGATATAGGGGCCCATTATACTACAGTTATCATAATGAACCCAATAATGGTATTGGTAAGTATCTAGGCCCCCCATATTATAGTACCCTTATAGACCCTCTTAATGAACCCCAATAACGGTATTGGTAAGTTTTTAGGCCCCTACTTAAAGGCTCATGGGACTTAGTAAGTAAGGTTATAAGTAGGTTATAATTAGGATAACCCCACTTAGGGGACTTATAACCCCAATTATAACTTACTTACTAAGTCCCATGATCCTCTAAGTAGGCCCCTATAGCATGCATGTCACTGGCAGTGGAAACACGAGCGCCTCCAGAGCTTGATCGAGGTAACAGCAAGATTCAAAGGGGAAAAGGAGGGACCCTTTAAAGGGACCTATAGGGATTCTATAAGGGTTTAGGGTTTAGGGGTTTAGGGGGTTTAGGGGAAAAGGAGGGAGCCTTAACGGGGACCCCTACCCTATAATGGGCCATATAATGGGTATATTTAATAGCTGTATTAAGGGTATCTACCTAGGAGTCCTTATTGATGGCCCCGCCTGTTTCCCTAGCAAGATGCTACGCTTGCAGAGCGCCTTTCTCATCGCTAGAGATGGCCAGTATCTTCCAGTTGTCGCTTCCGGCTGTAGTGCATCCTTGCCATCATTGCCTATCATATCTTATCATATCATACCGTATCATATCATATCGTACCATGCCGTATAGTCGCATCATCAAATATCCTTTCATGTCGTGATATATATGTATATATAATATGTCATGAATCTTATCATCTCATACCATCTCATATCATATCACAATGTATCATATCATAACTGATCGTGGCACATAGTATCATGTCATATCCCATCCTTTCGTATCATGTCATGTCACACGGCGGGTTGCTCTAGTAGATTCTCAATCCCCTATACAAACTGTGACAGGTGTGGTACTTTCGGTCTGTTCACCAGTGCTACTTTCAATCTACTACCAGGCCGCAAGCGCGACTAGCGTGTCTAAAACTAGAGCTTTAATTTCTAAACGGTTCCAAGTCCTAACCAAGGATCAATGTACTGTGAACGTTTCGAAGGGTCTGATAGTCTCCCTCGAGGTTGTTTTTGTTTAAGAGCGCAACTTTACATGTCTTGATGTTCTGTGAAAGTATGTGGGATTTGATTAGAGCTTTAGTGCTTCTTGGGTTGAGACTTTTCGTAGGGCCACGTGGTTTGGGACTGTAGGGTTGGTGTCTTCGGTTTACAAGGGTTTAAAGCTCAAGGTTTGTGGTTTACCTAGAGCCCCAGCTACCCTCTGCTAGCACAAATCCCCCCCCCTATCCCCATTCAGGACCATAAAGGCTCTGACAAAGGATACTTCCGGGCCTAAAATCCAAGGGGCGTGATTAGGTCTTGAGGGTTTCTACCTCTAGAGTTTTGGGGTATTGTAGAACCTGAAAGGAGCATTAGAACCCAAAACCTGAAACCCTAAACCCTACATCCCGAACCCTCAACACTGAATCCTAAACCCAAAACCCTGAATCCCGAAGTGCCACAGGCGTTCTTTGGAAGGAACTACGACCCTGCATGGGCCCAAGATGACGCTCTGTTATAGTATCCTTAAGGGAGGGGGTCCAAGGGGGGTATGTAGCCTAGCGATCCCTAATTCTCCCTAGTACTCCCTAGGGTTCCCTTACAGTCCCCTCTGGATTCCTTATACCCTCCCCCCTTGAACCACCCTCCCTTACGGATCCTATAACTCTGGGTTCTGGCGTACCGTGCTTGAATTTGTTCTTGGTACCAGCTCCTTGAAGAAACCGTGATCCTTAACCCTAAACCATCATCAATGCGAATTCTGTACCTTTTTCTCCTTGCTTCTCAGTAGCTGATTGGATACACTTTACACTTTGCACTTTTTGGGACCATATTATCCACCATAAAACTGAAAGTGTACACTTTTTGGGGCTTATGAACTCAGCAACTGGGGCTTATTTCAACCCTAAACTGTAATTTCAATGCCAAAACAAAAACAACAAAATCAAAGCCGAGAAGATGACTTGTGATCGGAAGCAGAAGTCGCTTGCTTCCGGATACGTGGGCTTCTGTCTGTAGCTAAGGCACCTAAGTATCAAAGGGGAAAAGGAGGGACCCTTAATGGGGACCCCTACCCTCTAATGGGCTATATAATGGTTACATAGTAGTAAACCCCAAGGGTCCAAGTACCTAATAATCATATCCTCACCAACATCGTAGCCTACATAACTACTATCCTAAAACCGAGTACCTAATTATTGAGTCCTTTGCACTCTTGGGGTAAGGCGCCTAAGCAGTTAGAATAGGGTTCTTGCATTATAGGGGCCTTAATAATTAGACTAGGGTTCCTTTAAAGGGGTCTGCAAAGGGATCTATAACGGTACTATATTATAGGGGCCTAAGGACTTAGAACGAGGTTTTGGTTGATACTGTACCCTAGGCATCTAAGGACCCATATATTGAGATTTTTGGGCCCAAAGAACATACTATATAAGGCTTTTGGGCTAGTTTGATGCCCAGGGGTGACCATAGTAATTATGCTAGGGGCTACAACTACAAGGGAATACATTGGAATACTAATGCTGATGGACACAATCCTGCAATACCCGTTATCAGGAATATACCATAGTTCCCATAGTTTAGGGTCCTTAAGGTCATGCAGGATTTTGTCCATCAAATATTCCGAGCTCTTTTGATGTTGGGGATGGAATGCACCGTTGACGCCAGAGCCTATGTGCCGTGGGGCGAGAGCAGTCCATTTATAAAGACAAGCGCCAGTGCCGGTCGGCCGGTTGGGCGAGTGTGGTCATGGAACTGGAATGCTTGCAGGCACATCGAGATGTTAGTATTTTGTGGACAGAATCTTGCCAGCCTGCGAGTGCCGTTGAGCCGTAATCATCGGTTGGCTGATCGCTGCAGTTGTAGCAGCTCAAGCGCCAGTGGGGCCGTTTCGATCGTCATGAGTGCCTCTACGCTCGATTCTGAGGCGGCCTTCCAAGCTCGGGCTAAGGAGCTTGGCCTTAAGGACGACATCATCCAGAAGCTGAAGGATGGGAACATCTCGACTTTCGGAAGCTTGGCATTCGCTTCGCCGTACAAGATTGGGCAGGCCGACGAAGCTCTCCTTGTGGACGCGCTGACGGCTATCCTTGGCCGAGGGCCCACCGTGCAGGAGTTGCGGGACGTCTCTTCTGGAGGTCCCCTAGCCGCCTTTCTCTCAGGGTTGTGTAAGGGGCCTTAGTTAGCAGGTGCTAACTGCAGGTATAAGTCGGCAGAAGTACCTTAAGAGGGATCCGATTTGGGGTTGTGATACTTACAAGTCTACAAGATAACTACTTACTAAGGTCTAGGGTTTGGGGTAGAAACTTAGAATCTTACGGCCCCTCTTTTCGGGGGCCGCCCTACTAAGACTGAGCAATCGGAATTAGGGCACCCATACTAGTACAGGGGAGCCTCAACATACCTTCCTCAAAGAGTTTCTATTCAATTACCAGGGTTTGCGGGGCGCTGCCTTTCCCTAAACCCTAAACCACGAACCCTAAACCCTCAACCCCAAACCCTAAACCCCAAACCCTAAACCCTCAACCCCGAACCCTAAACCCTCAACCCCAAACCCTAAACCCTAAACCCTCAACCCCGAACCCTAAACCCTAAACCCCAGACCCTAAACCCTCAACCCCAAACCCTAAACCCAAAAAACAAAAAAACAAACCCTAAACCCTAAACCCTCAACCCCAAACCCTAAACCTTAAACCCCAAACCCAAAACCCTAGACCGTCTTCCAAGGCTTATGTGGCACAGCGCCAGGCAGAGGCCAAACGAAGAAAGCTGCTGCAGGGGCCCTGGCAGGGTCAGGGCGCCCGAAGCCGTAAACCCTGATCGTAAACCTCAGGGGTTACTTAGAAACATGTGTTAGTTTTTGGGTTCCTTTAGCCCCTAAGCAACAGGTTAAACTACAATTTGTGCTTGGGGTCTAAGTTCAGTATAGAAACATCTGATGCCCGAAATCTTGTAACTCTGGACTTCGTTCCGGTTTCACGGTCTTCGGGCTAGGTGACTTTAGGAAACCATGTCTTCAGGAGTATCACTTTAAGCTGTAGTGTCACGGATCTAGGGTTCAGGGATTCGAGGGGAGTTCGGGACGTCCTTAAACCCTACATCCTAAACTCTAGAAGCATCGGAAGTTCGGCAACTCTCCGCAGTTCTCACTTTACTCGCCTGACGCCTTGATGGCGTAATCCCCCCACCCCTAAACCCTACACACCCCGAATCAGAATCCTTGAAACTCTTTCCATCTGTTGTAAACTACAGCACCACTAGACGGTCCCTAATAATAATACGGCACTATAGCCCTATTAGCAAAAGAGCAAAGATAGAGCGTGCACAGAAAACCTGTGCCCTAGCTCCAGCCCCAAGAAGTCAGTCTCACCCCTCTCCAACCACGCGCAAACCACAGCCTCGAAGAACCCGTAACCCCCCAAAGCCCTAAATCTCAAGACACTCGAACAAACCCTCAGCACGCACAGATACGTAAAGTACAACATAAAGAACCAATAAGCGAAATAAAGCAAAGCAGCAATCAACACAAGCACAAAACCCAAAACCCTAAACCCCACGCCCTAAACCCTACACCCAAATTTTTTGAACCCTACACCCAAATCCCGAAATGCCCTCAGACACTCAGCACAGAAGAAACAAGTAGGTGGCACTTTGGAAATCCTTTCAACCTCTGTGGTTCCTACAGAGAGGTACCTAGCCTTGAATACGTTTGCGGACCCCAAAGCTACAATGCCAGTTTGATTACGCTAAACCCATAAACCTTATACCCCAAATCCTGCATAAACGAGGCGCCTCAAACAAAAAGTCTTCAACTCTACATAAAAGAGGCGCCCCAAACAAAAAAACTCTGAACCCCGAATCCTGAGCAAAGAATTTGAATTCTCAAAACCCTGAAACCTAATCAGTAATACCCTAAACCTATACCCCAAATCTGAATCCTAAAGCCTAGTACCCTAAACCTACACCCTAAATACCCTAAGCCTACACCCAATGCACCCTAAACCTACACCCTAACCACCCTAAGCCTACACTCAAAGCACCCTAAGCGGAACCCTATTAGGGTTCCCTTTTTTCGAAAACTCCCCAATCTTCGCCGACCAGCGTTGGCGAAGCCCAGGGCCGAGGCGGAAGCGAAGGAGGCCAAGGCTGGTCCTCCAAGCCGAAAATAAGGACCCCTAGGTATATACCCTTAATATAGCTATTATATACCCATTATATGGTCCATTAGGTAAAGGGGTGTAGGCTTAGTAGGAGGATACAATTAGAATTGGGCTTCCTTTAAGGGATCCTTTAGTGTTTGGGGGTTTAGGGGTTAGGGTTATTAGAGTTTTAGGGTTGTTAGGGTTTTAGGGTTTAGAGTTTAGAGGTTTGGGGTTTTAGGAGTTTAGGGGTTTAGGGTTTAGGGTTATTAGGGTTCCTTAACGGGCTCCTTAAAGGGTTTAGGGTTTAGGGATCGATAATATAAGGGTTCTATAAGGGGGAGTTTAGGTTGCTTAGACTGCAACAGTGCAAGAAGACTACGAGCGCTACTTGGGGGAGTCGGGCGTAGAACCAGGAAGCCCTGACTCGACAGAAGCACGAACGGAAGGATCGCCTTGCTAGAGTAAGACCTACTTAAGGGATCATGGGACTTAGTAAGTAGGTTATAAGCGGGGTTATAAGTCCCCTAAGTGGGGTTAGCCTAATTATAACCTACTTATAACCCTACTTACTAAGTCCCATGATCCTTTAAGTACAGCATGGACATCACGAATGCCCAGGAATGAGTGCAGGCACCCAGGCGTATAGATGCTCGTTTTTTAGCAGCTTCGTTGCCCTAGTCACCCAGCAGCAGCGGCAGGAGCGGCCTGAGACCTGGCCAATGACTGACTGACAGAGACGGCTCAAGGCTCAAAAAAAAAGAGTCTAGAGCATATTCTTGAAAGCTGAGCGTATAACGGTTTCCCCGGGAAACGGAACACCGGGGCATCAGAGGAGCGAACTTACAATCGCCCCGCCGATGCTGTCTTAGGGTTTAGGGTTTCAGGGTTTAGGATGTAGTGGTTAGGGTTTTGGGTTTTGGGTGTAGAGTTTAGGTTTTAGGGGTTAGGGTTTCGGGTTTTGGGTTTGGTTTAGGGGTTAGGGTTTTGGGTATTGGCTGTAGGGTTTAGAGTTTAGGGGTTAGGGGTTGGGGTTTAGGGGTTTAGGGTTTTAGCAGTTTTAAGTCTAGGGTTTAGGGTTTAAGGGTGTGTCCAAAGTATTCGCTCGCTCGGGTGTAAATCTCCCCGAGCCGCTCGCTCCAGCACAGCTGAGTGACTCCCACCCTAGACCCACCCAGACACAACTCAATTAGGGTTTAGGGTTTTCTACCCCCGAAACCCCCCTATCAAGGGGGGCTTTCCCCAGCGCAGGCGGGGGTTTGGCTTATAGTGCGTGTTTTTTTTACGACCAGAATTTATCACCCAAAATACTCACCCAAAATCTGGGTTTTTGGCTCCGGCTCTGGCGTGGGGGTGCTCTGATGAGTGGGCTGTGCTCTGGTGGGGGCGGGGCTTTGGCTGGTCCTTCATAGAGAAGGACGACGGGGGTGCTCTGGTGGGGGTGCTGTGCTCTGGTGGGGGAGCCTTGTCCTTCATATGTATTCTTTCGTCTGCATCATGTTCCAGGACCTAGAGTAGGCCCTTATTCCCCTTGTTTTAGAGTTCAGGTTCCCTTATAAGCCCCTCCTCTACATAGAAGCATTAAGCCCCTGAACCCGGAACACTACACAGTAAACCCGAAACACTAACCTCTGAGCCCCAATGCAAGCCCTAAACCCAAACTCTAAGCTGCTAACCCTGATCCGTAGACTCGGAGCCATAAAGCAGGGTTTGGGGTAGGGTTCGGCGGTACGGTTTTTTAGGGCCCTAGTAATAGAGCTCTTAAAGAACTTACCTATAAACCCAAGAGGTTCCTTTTTAAAGGAACCCTTAAAGAAACCCTAAACCCTAAACCCCGTTCCCCTGTCCAGGCTCGGGCAGAGGCCGAGGCCAAGGACCGCGCCGATGCAGAAGCAGACGTCAAGGCAAAGGCCTGGATACTATAGGGGCCTTAATAATTACCTAGGGTTCCTCTACAAGGGCTACTATAAGGGGTAATTATTTTGGGGTTTAGACAAGGGTCCTACATCTCAAAGGGAATACTTGAGTGTCGGGGGACTTAGTAGAAAGGGCTCCTTAAAGGGATCCATAAGGGATCTGTAAGGGTCCTATAAAGGGGGGGGTTTAGGGTTTAGGGTTTAGGAATTCGGGGTTTAGAGGGTCAGGGGACTTGGTAGGCAGTGAGTTTATAGATTTTCAAGTATCATAACCCCAATGACGATCCCTTTCAAGTACTTTTCAGCTCTCCATATCACCTACTTACTAAGTGCCCTGACCTCGAAGCCACGTATTGTCTACTGTATGCTTTCTAAAAATAAGGGAATGTGAAGTTTCTTGGTACAAGGTTTCTACAATCAAACAATCAAAGTCGCGTATATGTACATGTGTATATATATATATATATATCTACACACACATGGCACCCCCCCAAGTTATCCACCAGTTTTTGTGTAGATCCTGTGTGTTCTGCCCCTCGGGTGCGAGAGCAGGCATGCATCACACCCCGGGAAATGAGCCAAGTCGGTCATTGTGAGCCTCCGGAAAATCTTTTGTTAAGGACGATCGGGCTTTATGATAGGGGTTTAGGGGGTTCTACTTTCATTTCGGGTTTCAACAGGTGTTCCTCCATAAGAAGCGTTTTTGCAAGGGTTTGAAGTATGGAAGGGCTTTCCTATGCAACCTGTTAAGAACTGCTTCTACAACTGCTACTGCTTTGGATTTCCACGGCGCTCCCGCAGTGTGGAATGCCACATCGGAATTCGTTCTGACGGACAAACGCCGACTCTACCTCAATCTGGGGCAGCGGGGGTGCGCCGACTGCAACGAACGTGAGCAACTTGTTGAAGGAGTTTCTGAATCGACACGGCCTGGTGCATGCGGGGAGAGCTTGCAGCTACTTCGGCATGCTCGAACCACAGCCGGACAGCTGGTGGCTTCGACTGGAATGGCTGCTGAAGCAGGGCTCGTGGCACCACGCCAATCTTTGTATTGTACCACCAGGTGTAAGCTAATAAAAGCCTATTGTGAAAGTGATGGCCCCCGTGCTAATCACAGCCTTACATTTTAAGATTTAGGGTGAGGCCCCGAGAATATCTCATTCGCACGGCTTGGGCTTGCTTGGGGCTTCCTTCAAAGCACTTCAAGGGAGGTTCTTGGGAGACCCGACATCCCGACAGAAAGCCGCATTGACTTGATGTAGGAGCCACCATATACTGTAATTAAGCAGCGATTCTCCTCCATGATGCCTGCTGACCGTACTTCATTCTGCTTAAATGCCGCAATTCAACATTGACCGCAAAATCTTATATCCCCAAAACCCCAAACCCTTTCAGCTGAATTCCATTTCTTTGAGCGCTGACCGCCAGGACGGTGCTGCTGCTACGGACGGCAAGGAGGCCGCAGGAAAAGAGAATGATTCTCGTCTGAAGGCTGCGAAGCCTAAACCATGAAACTTTAGAGTTTAGTTTGGATTTAGTGCTCTTAGGAACACTGTTATTTGTAGTATCCTACAACTCCCATAACCATAGTGCTTTCGCTTTGGTTCTAAGGGCGCTCAAGAAACCTGCCATCTAACAAACTCTACAAGGCCAAAAACTGCACTAGAATCTGCACCTACGCCGTGAAGACTGTCCGCCTTTCGCCTAAACTCTAGAATCCTAGATTCAGCTTGAAACCCAAGAGTCTCAGTCCTGTACCTTCAAAACCTTAAAGCCTCGACCCTAGAGGCCTAAAAAAAAAACAGCCTCTCGGAACCTGCAGCCTCGCTTGTGCAATAGAGGGCTAGGCCTAACTACCAACATTATTCCTCAGGGCTCCTTAGTGACTTATTGTAGCAAGCATACTACAACGCACCGCTAAACCCAAAACGATGGGTGCAGAACCCTGAACAACACCCGATTCTATTTGTAAGCCCAGAACCCTAATCCTTAACCCCTAATCCCTACAGTAACCCCCAATCCCTAAACCCTAAGCCCTTTTAAGAACTTTACCCGGAGTTGTGGGGATCTGGCGGAAGTGCTTCTGCTGGGGCTCCCAGTGAATCTTACGTTGCTTAGTGCTGCAGTGCAGTCGGCACGCAACACCTAATGTCTCTACATGTCTCCACTGAGTCCCTGTTGCCTGCTTTGAATGGCAGAGCCGATGATATACCCTTAACCTTCTGACAAGTTCAGTTAGGCTTTAGGACTCATTTTCGCATACCCTGAACCCTGAACCTTCAACGATAATCCCCTAAGCTACATGAATAACGTGTAGTACTATGCCTTAATGTTCCTTATCATCAGAATTGACGTTAGTATACCTCAGAACTTGTTCCAATTTCGTAGTGAATCCCCTACATTGAACCCACCCTAAACCCTAGATCCTAGTCTAGTCTGTACTGCACAATACCTTTTCATCCACATGCAGCAGAAGCTTGAATCCACTAAGCAGACCTGGAAAGGTGAGGGTTCACACACCTCCCGACAGGAGGTGTGAGAACCCGTGAGCTTAGGAACCCTCATCTCCCGAAGCTTTGGGTCTCCGCGACCTCGACCTGCTAAACTTCAATCGTAAACAAGCCATCGCAAGCGCAACTACGACTACTTGGAGGGGCAGGGGACTTAGTAAATCGGTTATAAGTAGGGTTATAATTGGGGTAACTCCATTTAGGGTACTTATAACTCTACTTATAACCTACTAAGTCCCCTGCCCCTAGAAGTACACTCTGAACCCTAGAACTGAAGCTGAGCTGAGGACTTAGTGCATGCCCTGTAGGGGGTAGGCCAACCACTGCAGCAGCAGAAAGCCCTAAACCCTCGACCCTAATGAAAACTTAACCCCTGACCCCGAAGCCCTGAACCCTAAACCCTAAAGCCTCATCCGTTGCCCCCGCCAAGGAAGCCCCGAAAGTTGATGGCGAGAAGAAGGATGGTCCGCACCCTGGAACTCTCCAAATCCTACTTGGAGAGTCAGGGGACTTAGTAAGGGTTTAGGGTTTAGGTACTACTGTAATATGTAGAGTTATAAGTCTTGCCCTGAAAGGAGTCCTAGTTGGTTATGATACCTATAGTTCTTCCATATACTGTAACGTACTAAGTGCCCCGTCCCTCCAAGTGAACTGCGAAAGTGTCCGGGTGTAAGTCTCAGCTTTTCGAGGGTAAGGGTTTTTGGGTTTAGGGCTTAGGGTTTAGGGTGGGGGCTCCAGGGGTATAAATTTAAATGAAATCTTGTCTACTACAGTTTAGGGCTCTGGGGGTTTTGGGTGGCCGGCTTCTGAGTTTCAGGGGTGTAGGGTTTAGGGACACGTACTGTTGATGGTATAAATCCTGCATTACCTTAAGGACCCTAAACTACGGGAATAATGGCATATTCCTTCTTATGGGTAGTGCAGGATTTATATCATCAACCGTATCCCCCAAACCTCGAAATCTTAAACCTGAAAACCCTATGCTCAAGACCTTACATACCCACGTAGGATATAGCGCCTCTAGACATGGACGGCGCTTACCTGCTCGGCCGCTTGGAGCCTAAACCCTAAACTGCACCTAGAACCCCAAACGAGCCTTCGTAGTGGTTGTACTGTGCAGTTTGCTGAGGTTTCAGGGTTTCGGGGATTTCGGGCTCGAGTCTTTGGATTCACTTAAAGGCTCATGGGACTTAGCAAGTAAGGTTGTAAGTAGGTTATAATTAGGATAACCCCACTTAGGGGACTTATACCCCCAATTAAAACCTACTTACCAAGTCCCATGATCCTCCAAGCAGTCGTTGTATCGTGTTCGTGTGATTGGTATTTTGCAGTTGCTCGACTCCACTGCAGCTAAGGTTCTTGGTTCTTAGGGGTACTTAGAACTATTTTTTGTTTTTTGTTATTATAACCCCTAAGAAACAGCTAAAATTAAAATTTTTGCTAAGGTGCTAAGTTCAGTATAGGGTTTAGGGCTGAGAGTTGAGGGTTATAGGTCCACCGCTTGTTCAGGTGTCTACAAAGTAGGTGTTCTCGCTATGTAAGAAAGGGTGTTGGGACATGCATTTTGTTTGGTCGTCTTCGTAGGCATGGTGTTCGATCACTGCCCAAGCTCTCCCAAACTGCTTCCGAAGCATTCCCGTCGGGGACGCATCTTCTTATTTAGTGTGAACACCTTCGCAGTAGACACCAGGACAATGCCCTGAATAGGGGATTGGGAGATTTCTATTTTTGAAGATTTGGGGGGGCGGGGTGTTGAGTTTACGTATCAGTTTATGCATTTTAGGGTTGGTTTTGGATTTAGAGTTTAAGTTTGAGTTGAGTGTTGCTTCAAACCCTAAACCCTAAGCTTTTCAACCATACTGTTGATGGACAAAATCCTGCATGACCTTAAGGACCCTAAACTATGGGAACTATGGTATATTCCTTATAATGGGTAATGCAGGATTTTGTCCATCAACAGTGGTTAGGGTTTCGGGGGTTTCACGGCTCAGAGTTCTTCTGGTGTGGGTATATGTGGTTGCTGAGTCAGCAGTTTGGATACTTCTCCCAGTCAGTTGCATGAGTAATGCATATATACATGTGTATATATATATATATATATATGTGTGTATTCTAGATATATAGGCCCTGAATAATGGCCCGACTACACACGGTTGGCAGTACCCAAGGTTTAGTGTTTCCTCTCTTGGAGTGTGGTATCAAAGGGTGCCAGCGAATCCATCGTCCTCTAGGTAGTTTATAGCTAGCCACTTGCCTCCAGAGATTTCAAGCTGAATCCGCAACCCGATTTGAAAAGAAGCCCTCTGGGTCAATAGTCGTCTACCTGAAAGCCTCAGACACAACGTTTGAGAGAGACCGTCACTAAAGAATTGCGTAAGCCGCCCGACACAGCCCCTCGCGTTTGACATGATGGCCGCGGCCAGGTCTTCATCATGTCACTGACGGTTGAGGTAAGCCTCATAAGTGGCAAGACTGTGTCGCTGGAGGTGCACGGCGACGAATTGGTGGAGTCCGTCAGGGTGCGTGCGCAGAGAGGCTTGGGAGCTGGCAAAGGTCGACTCTTAGACTCCACTGGAAGCATTCTCGAGGGAGAAACGCCGCTGAAGAAGGCTAGGCTGAAGTATGTGGAGCCGCTCACGTTCCAGGTTCGAAGGGTTGATATCTGCTGCGGATTTGGTGCCTTTGCAGCAATCCTAGGGGATGGCTCGGTCGTGACCTGGGGCAACTTTGTTTTTGGTGGTGACAGCAGTCGTGTCCGAAATCAGCTGAAGAATGTGCAGCAGATTCAAACAGCCAAGTATTATGCCATTGCCTTTGCTGCGATCCTCGGGGACGGCTCCGTGGTGACCTGGGGCGAGGCTAATTTCGGTGGTGACAGCAGTGCAGTGCGAGATCAGTTGAAGAATGTGCAGCAGATTCAGGCATCTGCGCGGGCCTTTGCTGCGATCCTTGGTGACGGCTCTGTCGTGACCTGGGGCTATGCTGCCTACGGTGGTGACAGCAGTGGCGTCCGAGATCAGCTGAAGGATGTGCAGCAGATTCAGGCATCTGAGGGAGCCTTTGCTGCGATCCGTGCTGATGGCTCTGTAATGACTTGGGGTTATGCTGGCTTCGGTGGTGACAGCAGTGGCGTCCGAAATCAGCTGAAGAATGTGCAGCAGATTCAAGCAACCCGAGAAGCTTTTGCTGCGATCCGTGGTGATGGCTCCGTCGTGACCTGGGGCGATGCTGGCAATGGTGGTGACAGCAGTGCAGTGCGAGATCAGTTGAAGAATGTGCAACAGATTCAAACAACCCGAAAAGCCTTTGCTGCGATGCTTGGTGATGGCTATGTCGTGACCTGGGGCGCTGCTGACTACGGTGGTGACAGCAGTGGCGTCCGAGATCAGCTGAAGGATGTGCAGCAGATTCAGGCATCTGAGGGAGCCTTTGCTGCGATCCGTGCTGATGGCTCTGTAATGACCTGGGGTTATGCTGGCTTCGGTGGTGACAGCAGTGGCGTCCGAAATCAGCTGAAGAATGTGCAGCAGATTCAGGCATCTGCGCGGGCCTTTGCTGCGATCCGTGGTGATGGCTCCGTCGTGACCTGGGGCGATGCTGGCAATGGTGGTGACAGCAGTGCAGTGCGAGATCAGTTGAAGAATGTGCAACAGATTCAAACAACCCGAAAAGCCTTTGCTGCGATTCTTGGTGATGGCTGTGTCGTGACCTGGGGCGCTGCTGACTACGGTGGTGACAGCAGTGGCGTCCGAGATCAGCTGAAGGATGTGCAGCAGATTCAGGCATCTGAGGGAGCCTTTGCTGCGATCCGTGCTGATGGCTCTGTCGTGACCTGGGGCGGTGGTGGCTTCGGTGGTCGCAGCAGCAGTGTTCGAGATCAGCTGACGAACACGCAGCAGATTCAAACAACCGAGCGGACCTTTTCTGCGATCCTCGGTGATGGCTCCGTGGTGACCTGAGGCAATGCCTTCTTCGGTGGGGACGGCAGCGCCCTTCTTGTACGAGATCAGGTGCAGCGCATCTCCGAGCAGCAAGCGAACATTTTGGGGGGGGTCCTTACTATATTTAGGTATAAGATACCCCCAAACCCTATTCTAATCATTGAGTCCCCTGCATTACAGGCGCTTTAACAAACAGAAGAGGGTTTCGGTCATTAAGTCCCCTGCATTACAGGGGCTTTAACAAATAGAAGAGGGTTTCGGGGTATATTGTACTATAATCATAGTAAGAGGACCCCCCAGAACCTTCCGAAAATGAGGGGTACCTTGTTTGAGGGTCCTTATAAGGATCATACTATTTAGGGTAGTCTCCGATTTTCGGAACCCCCCCCCACATTGTGTTCCCTTCATCCCGAAGCTCAAAGCCTGGACGAGCTCCGCTCGAAGCTTTCAACCCCCCTTACCCCCCATTAACTAGGATGCCCAGTAGTACCCTTATTCCCTTTTTGTAGTCCTAGGTTCCTTATAAAGTTACCCAATACAAAAAAGAGAGGCCTTTTGATTCTTAGGTTACTGGGTATCCTAGTTAAGGGTCCCTCCTTTGCCCCTTTGAAAGAGGTACACGTCAACCCAGGGTTTGTGAGTTTAGGGCTTGCGGCATGTTCAGGGTTCACTTGGAGGATCGGGGGACTTAGTAAGTAGTTACTTGATAGACTTATAAGTATCATAACCCCAATTAGGATACCTTTTCGGGTACTTTTAAGTCTACTTCTTAAAAACTACACTCATGCATGTCGTGGAGCGCCGCAAGAGGGCGAGTGTCGCGAGAGTGCTTGGCAACAGCGAAAATAACATCGTCTGATCCATCCATCCATTCACCCATCCATTCGTCCGTCCATCCATGCTTCCATCCATCCATCTACCCATCCGTGCTTCCTTCCATCCATCCTTCCATCCAGCCATCCCATCCCACTAAGGTTGTATACGAGGCCGCAAACCCAAAAACCCATCCCTGAATCCCCCAATCCTATACCGTTAAACGGAACTCTACTACAGTACTGGTAATTAACGGCCTTTGAGACTTAGTAAGCATGGTTTGAAGTAAGGTTTAATTAGGATAACCGTACTGAGGGGACTTACAACCCCAAGTACAACCTACTTACTAAGTCCCATTATCCTGCATGTAATGTAACCTAAACTCCCCCTTATAGAACCCTTACAGATCCCTTAAAGGGAACCCTTTGAGGAACCCTTATTACTAAGTCCCATGATCCTCTACAGTAGAACCCAGAAAGTTGGAACATCATTATCCCCATGCCCTTAAGGTAAAGTATAAGGGGATCCTAGCACTACTCCTCCTGAAGCCATGTCCCAAATTTCTGGGGTCCACCAGTAGAAGCCAGAAAGTTGGAACATCATTGTCCCCAGGCCCGCAAGGTAAAGTATAAGGGGGTCCTAGCAGTCATCCTCCTGAAGCCATGTTCCAACTTTCTGGGGTTCACTATACAAGAAACAATAACCCCTGCCCAGCCCGCTAACAGAAACAACAACATAACCAAAGCCCCCTAGAGCCGTAACGTAACCCGAAACCTCAAACCCGAACTAAACCCCAAGCCCTAGTTCTGGGGTTCTCATGCCCTTTCAAAGTAAAGTATAGGGAATCCCAGCATGAACCATCCTAAATCTATGTTCCAACTTTCTTGGGTTCACCATACGTAGCTTGAGTCTTCAGCTGCTCTTTGCGGCCGAGGCGACGTGGAGATGAAAGAGGCACCGAAGGACAGGGTCTTGGGTTTACCCTAAGGGTCCAGGAGTCTCCTTAGGGTTTAGGGGTTTAGGGTTTAGTGTTTAGGGGTTTAGGGCCTTAGGAGGGTGCGGAATCTCCTAAGGAGAGCCCTTGCGTCTCTCTTTGGGGTCTCGGGGTAGATAGTGAACGGGAGAACTTTGAACTTTTGAGGGCCCGGTTAAGGGTTTACTTGGAGGGTCTGGGAACTTAGTAAGTAGATGGTAAGTAGACTTGTAAGTACCCTAAAAGGGACCCTAATTGGGGTTATGATACTTGTAAGTCTATTTGCTGTCTACTTACTAAGTACCCCGACCCTCCAAGTAGTGCCTAGGGGTAGGTGTCTAAATGGGTTAGGGTTTACGGTTTAGGGCTGGGTCCCTAAATTGGGGTTGGGGTTTAGGGTTTCGGGTTCAGGGTTGACTCCGCGGTGTGGTTTTATGTACGCGATAGGGTTCAAAGTTTAGCGGCTCCGGTTTGGAGTTCATGCCCCCTTTCAGTTACTATACAGGTAGAATATGATATACCACGAAACACTGTTCTATTTGTACCGGCCTGCAAATTTGGAATGGTGTGCGTGTGTGTGTGTGTGTTGTGTGCGTGGTGTTGCTTTATTGTTTAGGGTTTGGGAGTTTCCGAAAATAGGGGACCTTAATGTAGTACCCTAGATAGTCGGATCCTAATTATAAGGATCCCCAAAACAAGATACCCCTCATTTTCCGAAACGCCAAATTCTTATAGTAACCCTTTAAAGGAACCCTTATAGTACCCTTATAGCAACCCTTTGAAGGAACCTTAATGTGCCCCTCATTTTCGGAAACTCCCGTTTGGGGCCCGGGATGGCAGGGCTGCAATCGACTAGGCTAGGGCCCCAAAAATGCACATAAGCAAAAATTAGGATAGGGATATCCCATATAAATCCCGGTATAAGGAAGTCGAATAAGGTAGTGATATCCCTATAAAATAATTATGCTTATGTGTTTTTTTGGGCCCTGATAGGCAATGTTGGGAACTGCGTCCCACTGAGGTCTCCCCCTCTACTTAGAGGCTCATGGGACCTGTTCCTTTTAATGGTACTATAGGGTCCTGTAGCAGGGTTCCCCGTAAGGCTTTAGGGTTTACGGTCTACTTAAAGGCTCATGGGACTTAATTAGTAAGAAAGGTTATAAGTAGGTTCTGATTAGGATAGTCCCACTTAAGAGACTTACAACCCCAATTGTAACATACTAAGTCGCATGATCCTCAAGGTAGCCTTGTTATGGTGGAGGTCTGGCGTTCTTCGCAGAACAGGTTCGGTGCGGCTACGAACGCAAGAAGTAATTTGCCCTGTTAGAAACTCTGAACTTCCACCAAACCCGACAAGAGTCTCTAAACCTTAAATCCTAAATCCTAGCAGAAAACTGAAACCTTCTGAACTAGACCTGTAACTCGGATCCCTAAGCCCTGTCAGGACACTTGGAGGTTTTAAACCCTAAGCTTTAAGCACCAAAGTTTAAACTGCATAGGAACTAAAGCATCCTAAACCTTAAGCCGCAAACTTCTCAAACCTTAAACCTTATTTCCCCAAGCCCTTCAATAAGCTCCTTTTGAGGCTTACCCAATAGGAGCTGACAGCGTCCCTATGTGGGCAGGTCTGTAAATTGGGGTTCCGGTTTAGGGTTTAGGGGTCTCTAAATTGGGGTTCCGATTTAGGGTTTAGGGGTAGGTCTCTAAATTTGCGTCTCTTCCAGGGTACTCTGTTTGAGACTTAAAATGGGACCGAATTTCAGAGAGCTACCCATGTATGGTCACGCGCTCCGCAGCCCCCCCCGCCCCCTCCCCCCCCAAAGGTCAATGGTCCAGATATAGGGTGGGGACCCCCCCTCCCCTGTGGTGTGGGGTGTGGGGTTCCTCTTCCCCCTGTGGGGTGGTTGTGGGGTTTTGGGGTTTAGGGTTTAGCTTAAGCTTTTGAGTTTGGGGTTTACGGTTACAAGGTATAAGGCTTCGAGTCGACAAGGGCTTAGGGAGGATTTGCGGTGTATGCTCTGCTTTAGGCTTAGAGCCTGCAGTTAGGTGGGGTTTAGGGTTGGGTGTAGCGTTTTAAGTACAAGTTAAGGTTGCTCAAAACAGGGGCACGCGCTGCGTTATAGGGTTTACGGTTTGCTTGCGAAGGGCTTGCGCGTGAGCCCTGGCCGCCAGCACCACCCCACCATCCAGTGCAGCTCCAACGGCCCCCAACCCCTTTCCGCACAAGCCCCCCCCCCCCCGCCATCGATGTATTTTCGGGCTTTGGCCTAGGTTTTGGGTTTAGAGTGGTTTAGGATAGGGTGGGTTTATAGTGTAAGGTTTGGAGCATGTATCCAAAATCTTGGTGCACTAGAGCTGCCAAACCCAAAGGGTCCAAAGTCTATCTATATGCTCACGGTATACTGTTGGGTTCCTATATTGGCAATTAGAACTATGATTTGGGAACGTATCCCCCGCAACAGTACCTAGGATCCTTTGGGAAAGGCTAGCCCCCCTCAACCGAAAGACCTTCCGAAGCCATCGAAGGAGGCGCCTACGAACGACGTCCCCCACGTGCAGGAGAGAATTTGGGGGGTTGAGGCGGTTGAGGTGTCACCTGAAGGACCAAATGACCCTTAAAAGTAGAGGCGCTATACCCATATACTATGAGTCCCTATATGGAATATGGACCTTAAACCCTTTTAGGGTTTATTTCGTCCTTAAGGCAGGGTGTTAGCGTTTACGGTTTGGGTTGCGCTTGTTAGCCCGCATCTCCCTAATAAGCATACCTCGCCGTAAACCCTCAACCCTAAATCCAAAGCCCCAAATCCCAAACCCTAACCGACTCTGAGCCCTAAACCCTAAATCCTAACCCCTAAACAACTCTAAGCCCTAAAACCTAAAATCCTAACTCCTAGCTACCTTAACTTCAAGACCCTTCACCCTAAACCTCGGCTCTCCAACACCCAACCTGTACACCAGGGGTTTAGGGGTTTAATTAGGGGTTTAGGGTTCAGGGTTTAGGATTTAGGGGTGTAGGGTTCAGGGTTTAGGGTTTGGGGGTTTAGGGTTTAGGGTTTTAGGGTCCTGTGAATATTGATATGATACTCTTGGATGACGTGCATCCTGCATTACCCATAATTACAAGGAATATACCATGATTCCACAGTCTAGGGTCATTAAGGTAATGCAGGATTTATATCAGCAACCGTATTGTACAACATTTTAGAGGAACGCATATCTAATGCAGTATCTAGAAGTAATCTATGATTTAAACACATTCTTTTTGTGGGTTTTTGGTCAAGTAAGAAACCTTCGTTTCAATCTGAAAAGAACCGGATCAGAATTTGAAAAGAACAGGGATTCCCAGTAGTAGACTGTGTTACTTGTGTGTTTGAGGTTCCCCTTACAGTAGAAGCCCGAAAGTTGGAACATCATTACCCTCATGCCCTTAAGGTAAAGTATAGGAAATCCCAGCACGAATCGTCCTACATCCATGTTCCAACTTTCGGAGGTGAACTGAACAGCGGGCAAAACGGACTCCCTGTTTAAATGGGCTACTTGGAGGGGCAGGGGACTTAGTAAGTAGGTTATAAGTAGAGTTACAAGTACCCTAAATGGAGTTACCCCAATTATAAGCCTACTTATAACCTGCTTACTAAGTCCCCTGCCCTTCCAAGTAGCTGGGAACAAGGGATGTGTTCGCGGTTCGTTCGTCTACGCAGATACTTGGACTCGGAGCCTGTGTTAAAGTCTATGGCAAACTCCCTCAAAGCGGATAGGTAAACCACGAGGGAACCGTAGAACCACATAAAGCCCCGAAAGGAAGGCTGAAAAGAACCGCTTCAATGAACCGGATACAGGTACGGTCTACATTGCAGATGGTGGATGAGGGGTTTGCTTTACTTGTTTTGACGCCAAGTTTTCTCTAAAGCCCCCTAGGCTCGAAACCCCTACTTCCACCCTACACGAAAAAACCAACAAACCAGAATGGTAAATTCGTTTAGGGTTTAGGGTTTAGGGTTACATTTGTTCAGGGTTTGGGGCTGAGGATGTTGTCGGAAGCTGGCAGTTCCCTAAGCTCAGTGGATTGGTTTGTGAATCTGCGAGGCATGCCGAGCACTTTGAGCATCTGTAAAAGAAAACCCTACCCCTGTTTAGGGTTTTGGGTCCTTCCAAGGCTAGTTATGGCATTGGCTAGTCGGGATAAATGCGAGACCTTACCCTAAAACCCTGGAGCGCAAAACCCTAGACCCGAAACCCTTAACCCGCAACTTAGTAGCTGAGTGAGTATACTTGACACTGTTTGGGCTTGTGATCTCAGCAAATAAGTGACATCTTACACCCTAAACCCTAAACCCCTAAGCCATAAGCCCTAAAAACAATGAAACGGAAGAGACCCAGAGGGCCCATGTGCCTATGTCGCGTATACGTGGGTCTTGAACGAGTTCCTATATATTAGGGACCCCCGAAAGCACATAAGCATAAGCATCTTAGAGGGATATCCCTACCTTGTTGGCCTTCACTATAAGGGGCTTTATATGGGATATCCCTGCGTTTTTGAGGGTCCCAATATAGGAGAGGAGGGTTTTGGTGTACAGTATGGTAGAGGTATTCTTTAAAGGGTTCCTTCAAGGGTTTCTACAAGGGGCCTTATGTAGGTTTAGTTTAACGGCCAAACTAAATACAATGGGGTTTTGGGGTACATTGTATTATCAAGACAACAAGGAACCCTGAGGATTAGTATTGCAAATCAAGGAGGCTTCTATATCAAAGTAATCTAGGCCAGAAATATATACTGTATGTATTAGAAGCTGCCCCTACCTGTAATAGTGGTATAGTAGGAATATAATAGGGCCCTAATATAATCCTTATAGTCACTATTACAGGGTGGGGGCAGCTTCTAATATATACTGTATGTAGCTATGCGGACCCTTCGGCACAGAAAACCATGGACTGGCCCTGAAGCCTAAGCACCTATACCCAAAACCCACAATCTCGAAACCCTGAGCCCCAAACCCTAAACCCCTGAACCCTAAGCCCCTATAGATCCCCTATAGATCCCTTCTAGGGCCCTTTCCCCACAATCCCAAACCCCACAACCCACAATTCTACACCCTAAAAGCTCAAGCCGGGAGGACGCCGAAGCCCAACCCACGATGATGCACTCCAACATGATGGAGATGGATGAGGTGCACTGCTAACCCTAAGGCTCCATGTAGCCATATAGTGTATACTTAGGCTTTTCTGTACCTACATAGGAACCCCTTTGAGGCCTAAGTATATACTATATATGGTACATCGAGCCTTACAGTAAGGTACCCTAAACCCTAAACCGATGAGGTGCACTGCTAAGGTTTGCGGCTTTGTGCTTCAGTGTTCTTAGGCTTTCGTTTTTTGTTTGACCTCCAAGGGTGTTTAGGGGTTTAGGGTTTCGGGTTTAGGGTTTGGGGTTTAGGGGTTTACGGTTAAGGTAGATCCTACCATGATTGAGCTAGTTGGGCCGCAAGTGTATTTGAGAAGGTTTCAGAGCTGTTCTAGGATCTGATATGGTTTGATTATGCATAGGGTTTACCCTACGACTGCAAGTGTTTCCTCAGAAAGTCCGGGATCTCCAAGGGAGAGTTCTTAGGTTTCACTTGGGTACGGCCTCCACTCAGTAACAGTTGGATAACATTCATACTATCGAGATATAAGGACCTTAATAGTAGCCCTATTATAGACTGTTACTGTACAGGGAACTCCAGAAAGTTGGAATATGGTTTCAGGGTAGGATACCCTATAATTTACCATAAAGGGTTTAGGATAATCATATTCCAACTTTCTGGCTTTTAAGTATTAGTAGCCCTATTATAGACTGTTACTGTATGGGGGCTGTACCCAAGGTTTCACTGGGGTCTGAGACATCCTACGTTTTGAGCGTCCCAAACGTTTTATGACCCTCAGGGCAATTAAACGGTGTTGGGTTTGGGTGTCTATAGGGCCTATTATAGGGGTCTTATGGGGTCTTATGTGAGCTCTTAGGCCGCGTGGTAGTACCCCTTTGCACTTTTTTTGGGGCTTGCCTTGACCTGAACTCAATCATAGGAAATCGAAGAGACAGTAGCCTTATTGGATGCCTTGTATGGTTTAGGGCGTAGGGCACCTTGAGAGAACTTGAAATTTCAACCATGCGCCGAGACCCACATCGTATCCCCAAAGTCGGAAATTAAACCCCAAACCCGGGTGCCCTAAACTCTCAACCCACCCACTCTAAATCCCTAGACCTAAACCCCTATAGCCCTACTACCCTAAGCCCCTAAACCATAATCCTAGATACCCAGAGACTCCAATATCCCTTAATTAAGGAATAATCCTTAAATTATGGTAGGATCCCTAATATGATTTAAGGTACATTCCTTAGTTAAGGGATATTAGGATCCCCCTAACCCCAAACCCTATAGATCCCTTAAAGGATCCCTTAAAGGAACCCTAGGTCCCTAGGTATTCCTTACTTAAGGGATATTGGAGTCTCTGGGTACCCTGAACCCTGGCTCCGAAGCAGTACCGCGGTTAAGATCGTAGTTTCTAAGTTAATAACGGTTTAGGGTTTAGGGTTTAGGGTTTAGGGGTTTAGGGTTTAGGGTTTAGGGTTTAGGGGTTTAGGGTTTAGGGTTTAGGGTTTCAATATTACAGAGAGTTTATGGTTTAGGGTTTAAGGTTTCAATATTTCAGAGAGTATATGGTTTAGGGTTTAGGGATCTATAAGGGTTCTATAAGGGGGAGTGTGGGTTACTTAAAGGATCATGGGACTTAGTCAGTAGGGTTTGGGATTCCTTTTAAGGGTACTATAGGGTTCTATAATAGGGTCCCCTTTTGGGGTTTAGGGTCTACTTAAAGGATCATGGGACTTAATAAGTAGGGTTATAAGTAGGTTATAATTAGGATAACTCCACTTAGGGGACTTATAAGCCCAGTTATAACCTACTTATTAAGTCCCATGATCCTCTAAGTATATGAATGTCAGGTACTTGGACCCATAGGGAGGGAGTATTCTTCTGAAGGGCTAAGTCTTGAGGACGTGCATGCCGTCGTAAACGCCTAGAAGCAGCAATCTGATAAAGCCTCCTTTAACCCTCAACCATTCATGAAAAATATTAGGGAGCCAGGTAAAAGCCCCATAAGACTCCACCACGACAGCAGACACCCTTAGGTGAAATTTGCTAGAGAGCCTCAGCCCCAAACCGAAATCCTAAGCGGTATGAACTTCGATGACAGTACTTACGATGACCTAAAAACCCTAAGACTTAGAAGGTTGCGCACCCGTACCCTAAACCCTAATCTTTAAACCCTAAACCTGAACCTTAAAACCTTAATATTATGTCCCACCCCCTTGAAGGTAGAGCCCTAAATCCTAAACCCTCCTTAAACGCTAAAATTATGTCTTACCCCCTTGCTGCAGACCTTGGAAGACCCGCCCATTGCCGAGCTCACCGAGCAGGAGCAAGGCAGCCTCTGAGAAGGGACTGCATAATATAGGGCCTTAATAGTTAGAATAGGGTAGGGTTCCTTAAAGGGGACTATAAGGGATCTATAGTAGGGTTCCATACTATAGGGCCCGAATAAATTAAGAGTCATCAATTCTATTGCGTGGGTTCCTTATTATAATTACAGTCTAATATGCCACAAAGCCCTACTCTAATTATTGAGTCCCCTATAGTACCAGAGACTTCGTAGCTGAAAGCTGTGCTTTCATAGCGATTTACCGAGGGCGCTGGTAGACGTGATGAGAAGGGCTTTACTGGGTGTAGTTGGGTTTTTCACTTTACAGCAAGATGAGGTGGCTTCTCAGTTAGGGCTTCTGGAGACAGCAAACTCCAAACCCAGTCATGTGGTGGCAGGATTGCTTGTCGGCAGGTTTACATCCGGCACGTCCTTGACGTTTTCATTGAAAACGTTTGGGTTTAGACTGTCGAGGTCGAGACCCAGATGGGGCCTAGGGCAGGGTATTGGCTATGGTATCCTTCAGCAAGGCCAATGGTGGGTTTACACCCTATTAGTCCCCAACTCTCCCCTTTACCCCCTTAGCTGCCCTTTTTCATAGAAATATCCTTTTTCTATAAAATAGGGATTCCTTCTCTTTTTGACTTCGCTGGTCTATTGGGTAGCTTCCCTGAGGATCCCTAGTGCGCTCTGCGCTTGAACCACCTCACTGAGGATCTTCTTATACTCTGGTGGCTTTCAGGTTTAGGATTGTTGGGTGTTTTTTAAGTTGTAGCTACCGACGGGCACGCAAATATGTGTTAGGGCGGTTTGCGGTGTTTTGCAATTGGATCCCCTTGTTGGTTTAGGTTTCAGGGCGTTCAGTCCTTTTTATGTCAGTATATGTAACTAGGATGCCCAGTAGTACCCTTATTCCCTTTTTGTAGTCCTAGGTTCCTTATAAAGTTACCCAATACCAAAAAGAGAGGCCTTTTGATTCTTAGGTTACTGGGTATCCTAGGTAATGTGTGTGGATTTGTGAAAGTTAAAGTTGATTGAATCCCGGCTCTAGACTGGGCGGCCCTATTTTCTGAAACTGAAAGATGTGGGCTCCACGGTTTAGGTTTATGGTTCAGGGGTTTAGGGGTTCAGGGGTTCAGGGTTCAGGGTTTAGGGGTTCAGGGTTTAGAGTTTAGGGGTTCAGGGGTTTAAGGTTTAGGGGTTCAGGGTTTAGGGTTCCATGTTACGGGAGATAGGGCTAACGAGCCCGAAATGCTAAAGCCAGACATCCTGAAACCCAGCACTCGACCATCCGAAAGCTTAGCAACGGTAAGCCGCTACGTCATTGATCCAAGGGTAAAAGGAGGGACCCTTAGTAAGGACCCCTAGGTATATACCCTTAATATAGCTATTATATACCCCTTATATAGCCCCATTATAGGGTAGGGGTCCCCTCCCCATTAAGGGTCCCTTCCTTTTCCCCTTTGAATAGAATCCCGAAGCCCCAACACTCTAAAGTTCCAACCTGAAAGCCCGAAACCCCAAACCCTAACCTGAACCCTTCACAAAGCCATCTTCAAGGTTACTTACTACTTTCTTTCAGGGGGTTTAGGGGTACTCAGAGGATCATGGGACTTTGTAATTAAGGTTCCTTAAAGGGCTCCTTTACGGGATCCTTTAGGGTTATAGGGCTTAGGGGTCTATAAGGGTTCTAGAAGGGGGAGTTTAGGTTGCTTAGAGGATCCTGGGACTTAGTAAGTAGGTTATAACAGGGGTTATACGTCCCCTAAGTGGGGTTATCCTAGTTATACTCTTACTACATAAGTCCCATGAGCCTTCAAGTAGTCTGGTTTCCTTGTATGAATCCTGAACAAGGTAGGTTCTGCAGGGTCCACTGATGCTCTGCGAGGCATCTGGTTCATCCGAGATCAAGTTCCGGACGTGTCGCCATTCGTGTACTCTCGGCAGAACTTTGAGGGGTCACCCGGGTTGAAGACTCAGTTTTTACGAGTTTCAAGCGCAAGCATCTAAACCCCAAGCCCTAAACCCTAAAACCCAGTGCATGTTTTAGACACAGCCCTAAACCCACATGTTACATGTTGACTTGTAATGAACCTGCAGTTGGTGGGGGGCCTCGGAGAGTCTGGTTTCGGCTTGACTTCGGTCAGGTTGAGCGTTTAGGGTTTGGGGGTTTAGGGGTTTAGGGTCTATAGGGTTCAGTGTTTAGGTTTTGGGGGCTTAAGGGTTTAGGGTTTAGGGGTGAGCAGTCATCTACAACACAGAGGCACCACAAGAAGGCTCGTCGTCGTATAGGTGTTTCCTTCTCCCTGCAGCTGGAAACCCCGCAATAGTACCCCGAGGCGCGACCAAATGATGTGAGAAAGGATCTATTTTTTCTCAACTCTAAACCCTAAACCCTGAAACGTGAACCCTGAACCCTAAACCTTAAACCCTAAACATTGCATTTGTTGAAAGAGGGGTCTTTGTAAAGTCCAACAAGTCGATATCCATAGACTCTGAGTAGGTAGTATCATTAGTGAGACCCCTTAAAGGGTACCCCTTCTGAACCCTACTTCTGGCTCTCTTAAACGGGGCCTTATTGAGAGGGTCTATATCCCCAAGGGTCCCCCTAATCCTAACTCCCACTGAGGGACTAGGATGCCCAGTAGTACCCTTATTCCCTTTTGCGGTCCTAGGTTCCTTATAAAGTTACCCAATACCAAAAAGAGAGGCCTTTTTTGTTCTTAGGTTACTGGGTATCCTAGGGGATGTAATCTTATGATTTATACGGCATCCCTTAGTTACGGCGGATTGCTCTCGTTCAAAGACCCAAGTAAACCATCCCTGCGTGCCAGGATGGGGCCCAGTATACTCTAGTATAATAAGGCGCCCTAGGAATAATATACCATAGACCCCTACTATACATCCCTTATAGAGCCCTTTAAGGAATCCCCCAAAATAGTAGTGGTAATTATGCAGTCCCCCTATTATACTAAACCCCTAATCCCAATAATGCCCCATAAAGTAGCCCTTGTTATAGACCCCTTTAAAGGAACCCTAGGAACCCCTTAAGTAGCCCTTATAGACCCCTTTAAAAGAGCCCTAGGCACCCCTTGCAGGGCACTAGGACCCCGGGCCAGGATGGGACCTTTGTTGTCCAACCTCTCTTTGCCAGAGAAGGAGGAAGGCTTTGAGGAGGTCGGGGTACTTAAAGGATCATGGGACTTAGTCAGTAGGGTTTGGGATTCCTTTTAAGGGTACTATGGGGTTCTATAATAGGGTCCCCTTTTGGGGTTTAGGGTGGGGACCCTATTTTTTTTAGCCCTTTTTTTTTTTTTTTTTTTTTTTTTTTTTTTTTTTTTGGCCCCGCCGCGGGAAGGAAGGAAGGAAGGAAGGAAGGAAGGAAGGAAGGAAGGAGAAGGAAGAAGGAGGGAAGGAGGGAAGAAAGGAAGGAAGGAAGTAAAGGAGGCAGGCAGGCAGGGAGAGAGGGGCCCTGCCGCGGGAAGGAAGGAAGGAAGGAAGGAAGGACGGAGTGTGTGTATATATATATATGTATATATATATAGTATATACAGTATGTGTAGTATAAACGGTGTATACAGTATGTATGGTAGATGTAGTAGATATAGTACATATATATAAATACATAGTATATATATAGTATATATATATATATATAGTATATATATATATATATATAGTATATATATAGTATATATATAGTATATATATAGTATATATATAGTATATATATAAAGGGCTCGGCGGCACAACTAAGATATCAGCAAAAGGTAAGTAAGATACCAATGTTTGGGGGGGTTGGGGGGAAACACAAGCGAAAAAAAACAAAAAAAAAATCCTGAAGGTAGGCCCCAAAGCATTCAAATATCAAAAACATATGGGAGTTTCCGAAAATAGTGGACCCTAATATAGTACCCTAAATACAGCAGGATGCTAATTATAAGGACCCCAATATAAGGTACCCCTAATTTTCGGAAACTACCATATGTTTTTGTGCCCTACCATGCTGTATCATGTCCTGGTATGCTATCATGTCACTTACCAGATCACATCATGCATGCAGCATATGAGCAGCATGGTTATCAATATTATCGTCATCACCATCATCACAGCATCACCACCACCAACATCATTACATCACCGTATCATTATCATATCATCATGATCAGCACCATCATCATTATCCTCACCAGCAGCATCAGCAGTAACATTCAGCAATCATCTTGATCATGCAGTACCAACATCGTCTAGATATTTAGGGTTGTAGGGCTCGGGTTTAGGGTTCGGAAATTAGGGTTTAGGGCTCTGAAGCCAAGAACAAAAGCCCACTCAAAGCCCAAGGCCAGAAGCCCCTAAACCCTAAACCGACCTATTGCCCTTATCAGAGCCCATTAAAGCCCCTAAGAACCTCACTATAAAACAATATTCTGGGAACCCTACCATTGTACCCCAAGCATCTTAGAAGAAACCCCCCTACAAACCCCAAAACCCTAAAACCCTAAAACCCAAACCGGCCTGCCTGGGCCGAGCGTCGAGTGTCGGCGATATATTATTAATTAGGTGGTGATTTTCTGGTATTATTGAGATATATTTATGTTGGCTTTCGGGCCGGTGGCAATATGTTCACGATGTCGGGATTTAGGGCTGTAGTAGTTTAGGGTGTGGGGTTTAGGGGTTTAAGGGTTTAAAGGATGAATGTGTCTTTCAGACAGGGATGTTGTGCTTGAAATTGGCTTGGGGCTTCGGGTTGTTAGCAGTGATGGCTTTCGGGTGGTGGCACAACTGCGCGCTATGGTAATCTAATCATGATACTGATGATGACCCTGGTGCCATGCATGATGATGCTCTGAGAATAATAGTATGATCATATTAAATTATGCACTAAGTACTAGGGCGAGAGCCCTTTAGTTTGGAGGGCTGCCGGGGCAAGTGTCATTCGGACTTCAGCGTCTTCGGTCTTAGGGTTGAGCCTCGTCTTCAGATTTCAGGCTTCTTGAGGTTTCCGGTCTTCGAAAATAACGATAGGGTTGGGCTGTAGTACTTTAGTTCTCAGGCATATGGTAGGTCTGTAACTTCCGAGATCATAGGGTAAGACTTCAACAAGACACTGCAGTCCTCAGTCTTGCTGTGCCCTACACCCTAAACCTTAAAACCCTACTAAAGTTTAAAGGATTCTCAGAGTCTTCTCAGACTCCCAGACCCCAAATGTAAGCCCAAATTACGAGGTAATGTTACATTTCTCAGACCTGAATTATGAGGTAGTGGTGCATTTCTCAGACCCGACATACTAGAATCAATGCGGTAGTGGTGCAGTTCCCAGACCATTCTTATCAAGTAAGGGCACTTCTCTGACCCGAAATACCGGCTAAGAGACACATGATGTACTTCCCAGACCCGAACTATGAGATAATGAGGCACTTCCCAGACCCTATTTTTCAGTGAAGGTGCACATATCAGACACCTCTCAAACCCGAACTATCAGATAATAAAATATACTTCCCTTATCACACACTTCTCAGACCCGGTTGTTTAGATAAGATCCAAGTCCCAGACCCGAATTATCAAACACTACCCAGGCCCGAATTATCAGCTAAGATACACTTCCCCGACCCGAATTAGCAGAGAGTTCTCAGACCCGACATATCAACAAAGATGCACTTTATTTTCAAACCTAAAACATGTAATTATCGAACTCCTGACAAGGCTCAACCCCAGCCCAAGCTTCCAGGCAGCAGCGCGAGGATGCAACTAAGTTGCCCCTAATGCCCCGAACCCTAACTTAGGGTTTAAAGGGTTTAAGGTCTAGGGCCTAGGGTTGATTTATAATCACGAGGCAGCCTTGGTATGCCCGCAGCCGGCAGTGGACCGAAGGCCCTTTAAACCCAGACTATACATTAAATTCAACCCTAAAGCCCTTACTGTAGGCGCTGAGATGCCCGACCAGGCATCCAAGCTCGGTACCCGAACAGCTCAAAACCCTAATCACCCCTAAGGTTTGAGGTTTAGGGCAGTCCTCAGTCTTGCTGTAGCATCCAAAGGGACTGCTAGACTGTAGGACTGTGCAGAAGCTTTAAGCTTCTGTTGGGGCCATAGACCGCCCCTCGTCGACACTGGCTGCTGTGCCACACTCACTGCCGGGTACGCAGGCCCGACCTCGGTCGGATTTTTCGGTTCAAATTCAGGGTTTAGTATTAAAATTAGGGGTTCAGATTTTTTGGGGGATTGAAGTAGAATTGTATGGTGTATCGCAAATGTCTTGCAAAGCTTGTGGTGTCTCGAAAACCATGGTTTGCAAGACGCACACTCAGAACGACAAATGCAGCAGTGCAGATTGTTTTTGCAATCAAGATGAAGCGCAGCTCCGAACAGCTTATTGCTGACTCGAGTGTCTTGTATCAGCTTGCAGACAAGGCACAAAATGCTTGGCATACAAAGATTGATGAAACACTGAATGAATCTGGACTCTAAACTGAAAAGTTAGTTTGTGCTATCCTTATGACTCATTACTGGAAACACCAAGCTTGCCTGACTGCAGGACTGCAAGACTGCCACTCACAACTTGGCAATGGAATCCTTTGAAATCCTGGCCTTGCGTTTCATGACTGCCTGAGGCATCATGCCTTTCAGCTTGTTGGCCTGATCATCGTATTCCAAACAAAACAGCACATCGAATTGTGACAAAGAGTTCAGGGCCACAAAACTGGACAGTTTCGCATGCGGCACGACTGGTGGGGGGAACTTCATATGCGGGTCCTCTGGGGCCTCCTCGACACTGGGTTTCAAGCACGCCGGCTCCAATGCAAGGATCTTCCACTCCACGTTGTTGCCATTGACTGTGTTCTCGCAGGAATGCAGGTGGATCGAGGGCTTCGGGAGGCCTGCCACTAACAAGGCATTCAAGATATCCTTGATTGCCCCACCCTTGTTCGAAAACTGCTGAACACTGGGTGGCAAATTCTTGCCGGCTTTGGGTCGAAGCAGCACCTGTGAATCCTCGGTCAATTTGTAAGCATAAACAGCACCTTCCGAACTGCTGATCAGCTCCGAAGCCTCCCGCCCCGTCTTGAAAAATCCATGGATCTGGAACTGCGCTCCTTCAAGAATGCAGTCTGTGAGGCCCTTGACATACAAGTCACCACGGGAGTTCACCCAGAACTCATGGGTTGTCAGGCCTGGCACCTGGCATTTCCCCATATGCTCGAGGTCTGAGGACTGCAAGACTGACGACAAGACTGTCTCGGCAGTGTTGTCCTGCTGCAACCTGGGTCACAGCACATGCACAAACACTTTTACACTGTTTGAAGCAAAGGATCAATCAACAAACAATGCCAGCAAGGGACACTCCCACCTCTGTCTCGGAAGCACGCTTAGCACGGATCACCTCTTGGGGATTGAACTCCTGGTTGTGTTTCTCGAAGAGCTGGCTCCACCCAAGGCCTTTCCAAACCTCACTGTCAGGAAGCAACACCTCTCCACATGACTTAGCTTTGGTGATGGTTTCCCGAAGCCAGTGCAGCTCGTTGTTTCCAGTGGGCTGGGTGAGCTCAAACAGATCCAACTTCAGGCTTGGGGGACTGCTGTTCTGCAAGACTGGCCGAGACAGTAGCGAGGGTGGAAGTGCAACAGGACCGTACTCATTCCTGGCAATGGCAGCTTTGACATGCTCAGTGAACACTTCCTCCACATTCGAGACAATCTGATCCTTGACCTGTGCATTGCCAGCCCATGCGATCCCAACATAGGCGAACCTGGGGAAAGTGCCATTCTTCACAGCATTCATGTTGGCAACTGCAAGACTGAGCTCAGCATCGTAGAGCGATTCATCGCGTACCAACACCGTGTGCTTGTTTGTCAGCTTCGTGCCCTTCACAAGGGATGAGATCACCTCTGCCAGAAAGCCTGCCCCAGAGTACCACTGCTTGCCTCAATGCCAAAAAAACATTGACACAATCATGTGAAACTTGATCAATTATTATTAAGACTGACACACTGTACCAACCCCACAGTAGAAATTCTGCCCTGGCACGCTCAAGGTCTTGATCACCGTTTGTTTTGCCACCCGTCACAAACGACATGTCCTTCGCGAAGTTTTTCATGGACTGTCTCGGGAAACAGCTCACCAGTCCTGGAATGGCTTTCCTTTTCAGCAAGACTGAGGACTGAAACACATTCGTGTC